AGTTCAGCCTCGCCTTGGATTCTCTACAGTCGCTTTAGTTCGATGTGATCCAAACGAGTTGTGCCGGCTGGAATCAAGCGGCCACGTAGGAAATGAGAGGAGCTATTTTCGGTGTACGGACACGTCGCCATCTTACTGGCCGAGTGGATAAATGTGCAGCGGAGCTGAGGGAGGCCGTTGCCTTCAGCCTTCATTTTCGGGCAGATTCCCTCGGTATCCCCAGCACAAGAGAAATTGGCCGGCGCTCAGTGGCTCGTGCTGCACGTTCCGGGCATTAAGGGATGCTGTAGCGTCACAATCGGCCCCTTCTCATTAGACGGCGGGCCGTCTGGGCTCATTAGGCCGCCGGCGGCGGCACAGCGGGGATCTATTCTCTGGAGGTGACCGAAGGTGCTCAGGCAGACCTTCCGCGCCTCAGTAATGATGCACCCGGACCAGTCGCTCTCGTCCCAAGGCTGACATGACCTTTTTGTGGCTCAAATGAAAGGAAGAAATCACAGGGCTGATGCAAGAGATGTTGTATTTGGCCCCTTCTGAATTTCCCTAAAGCTGGCCAGATTCTCAGCGGGTGGGTTCCCTTGACACAAAAAGTCAACGCACTGATTCCAAAGAATTTCACCTGCAAGTCAGGATTTTTAATCAATGGACCAAAAAGGCCAGACCTCGCCATTAGGACCTTTGAAATAAAGGGGCGCTGAGCGGCGGGCGAGCGGCTGAATAGACGTCTGGAAGCGATCAATGAGAGACGACGTATAGAACGAGAGATGAAAAGGTGTCTTTTAAGGCTCATAAAAAGAGGTGGGGGGAGAGGGAGGGGGGGGGATTTTTCCGTTTCAGCATCACTCATCTGAGCTCATGAAAAGCGGCACCAGCGTAACCCCACTGTTGCTTTGTTCCTCCAACGCGACGGGCCGCCAGAACTCCTCTGTGACTTTTTTAAGTGTTTGCAAACATCCTCTGAGCCGCTTTTATGCGTTGGAGGTTGGGACTTTTTTGTCATTGGAATACCTGCCGCCACCGCCGCCGCCCCCCCCTGGTTTATACACGCGGAAATACGCTGACACAGCCGGCTGCAAAGCGGAAATCCTAATGATAACAAAACGTAGATGAGATTACATCAGTGCTAAATTGCATCAGGTGCGGACGGCGTGTAAAACCGACGCGGTCCGATCCAGCCGCTGGGGGGGGGGGGCTCTCCGAACAGAGCCCGATTGTGATGGGCCACGCGACGGGCCAATTTGGCCCCCGCCCGAGCTCCGGCATATAAATGAGAGCGAGCGGCGGCGGAGACGTGCATTAATCCTCGCCAGATTGGGGACTGTATGAATTATGCTAAGAACCTTATCTGTTATTTCCCCTGGCCTCCCGCTGCCTGAATTGATTGCGTTTTTGGGTCCTAATCCCCAGCATGCCATGCGTGTTGGGTGGCAACCGGGGGAAGAGGGAGGGAGGGGAGCCATCTTGAATAAATAGAATTTGGACTTGACAAAAGCCACCTCCAGCTGAGCAATGAGAAAGCGTCCTTTCCCCCTCTGCACACCCCCTCCCGCGGCGAGTGACATTAGCAAGCGGCCGGCCGCTGTTTACACGGAAGTGCTGCGTTGATTCGGTGTTAACCCGCTTCCGCCGCGGAACACGACACTCACCAGGATGGATAAGACCATTTTGGGAGCATCTCAACAGAGAAAGGTTATTATTTCTTATTTATTTAATGAGATGAATTTGGATCGCTGATGAGCGATGGTCCTCCACCAATTACCTGGGCCATAATACGGCTCCCCCCCATCCCCTACCTCACCCCCTCCCCCCCCTCCCCCGAGGGCTCCACCAAGCCAGATTTTTCTCTTCCCCCAAGCAAGTTGCTATGTCCTCGGCAGGAAATGATTAATCATCTCGTCGCCGTCCCGAGGGACGACGTGACAGTAGAGACAAATTTATTTAAAAAAATAAAAAATCGCTTCCTAAACGCGGACTCCGGAGTTCAATTAGACGATACCGGCGCAGCTGTGCAGGACACAAGCTCTCACCGCAGAGGTCCGGCTGCAGGTCCGTTCCTTTTCTGTAATGAGGTGCTGCAGTTCACATTCCACCAGGGTGACTGAATATCAGAGGTCGCTTTGGGCAAGAACAGAGACGCCGCCGGTCCGGTTTTTTCACTCGTGAAGGGGGAGCAGCGGTGGGGGGCGACCTCCCGCGTGTCTATTTCCTCTCGCTCGCTGAAGGGCAGGAAGGTTCAGACACACACACACACACACAGATCGCAGCGGAGAGTATGGCAGCCAGGAATCAAACCACAGCGGGTCTTCGGCTGCGGATTGGAGAGCCGCCGGCTGCACGCGGCGCGCTGAGCCGCCTTTTTATTGGCCCTTCTCCATCACACCTGTCACACGAGATTGGGTTTGTGGAAGCGCTTCCTACAGCTGAAAGAGGCCAAAGTAGATTATGGGGGCCGGTGAGGCTGAAATGGAATAACCAATGGAATGGCGCCAAATCTAACGCCTTGCTGTCTGAATGCAAATCACGATTGAATTATGAATGATTTGTACGGTTTGCTGTGGAGTGGGAAACAGTTTCGCAAACGTTTCCGTGTCACAGACCCCTGAAGGGGCACATTTTGTCAGCCCATGATATGAGGGACGGGGGGGGGGGGGGGGGTAAACGAAAATTCAACCTACAATTATCATTATCACACGAGAAGTAATTTCCTTATTGTCATTAGAGAAAGTCCTATGGAACTGAGTTAGGGCGATATTAATCTATTTCTCAATTTGCTGAGGCCCCCCAGGAGCCCAGCACAGGGCCCCGGGGGGGCCTCTGACCCACTTTCAATGCTAGCATTCATTTTTTATCAGATACGCACTTCTTTGAGAATGGGCCATTCTCTTTCTTTGACGTTTTGTGATGAGACAATTGGTACTTTCTTAAACTACTTAAACTCACATGTATGTCTTTTTTGCTCCAGAAGATTACACATGTCCTCACACAGCTGGGAGTTGTAGTTTTCTAGCACACGCTACTCAAATAGAAGGGAAATTGGGTGTTTTTCAGGGACTGTTTGCGAATTGGTCAAACATTTGGTGCTGAAGTGGTATGTTCCCGACAGCGAAGCGGCGCATCAACTCAGGATATGTAAAAACACACTATTTATTCACATCGATCCCGGTTCTCTCCCTGTGACTCATCCTGCAGGTCCACATGTATGTGATTCGGGGTGAATTAGCCGGCAGACAGTAGCTAGCAGAGTGATATCCCGGGTCAAAGGTTTGTGTGGAATCCCAGTTGTCAGGAAGTTTCTAAAGTTTCACTGATTGTCTAATTTATTGATTTCTCCCGCCGTTCTCTACGGCTCCGTGGAGCGCCATGAGTGACCGCCAAAGGCTACTTTTATGTAACCTTGTTAGCTTGTCTATGTGTGCTGGAGGAGTGAAAATGAAAATGCCGCAAAAACTTTTAGAGACACACAATACTTGGCGGAAATCAATTTGTTTTTTTAAATGTGGAGGAAATGTGAGGATTTTATTTATTTTTCCTTCATGACTTTTTCCAACTCTGTCATTACTTCTGCCAGACATTTGCCCGGCTAATTTTGGCCCGTGTGACGCTGGAGAGCACGCCGGCGTTGCTATGTAACCTGCTGAAAAGCCTCAAGACGTTGATTGCACTTGATTGGGGGGTGGGCGGAGGGGCATGTGTGTCAGAGGGGAGAGCAAACATGCAAACCACAGCGGCCGCCCGTTCAGGGTATTTGAGTCCATCTCTACTCCTGTTGTCACCTGAAGTCACCGGCGTGGTGGTGTGGTGTGGTGGGGGGGAGGGTTGTCCAAACGCAAACATTGTCACGCGGCCGCTCTTTATCCAGCAGAGCCTCTGGGAGGAACATGACGTCTTCATTGGGCCGCTGCCTCATTACGGCGTGCACACGCGCACACCTTATGGGTGTAATAAAGCAGCAGATCACAGTCATTGGCTGCTGACAGGGACTGACACTGAAACCTGCTGTTGTTGGATGGCTGCCTGGGAGATGTTCATTACTCACAGAGCTTGTCGGTTTGGACAGGAGCGGAACAGCGGCCTTATTAAGTGGAGACCTGGAGCAGCCGGAGGGGAAACGCACGCACGCCCACGCGGCCTCCCGAGAAAGTTGGGAGCCGTGGCTTCGACCGAGCGCTCGGGTAGGCTGAGGGAGGAAGAATGGTTGTTCAAACTTTTCCAGCAAATTCGCTGAGCTTGGAGGTTGCTGACGGACGGCGAAATTGTGACGTGACGACGACAGCCGGCTGCCGAGCCTCGGCGTCCAGGGTGGGGGGGAGAAGGGGGGAGGAGGACGCAGAGCAGAAGAATGTCAGCCTGTTTTTTTTTTTTACAAGAGCCTGCTGGTATTGATCGGAGTTTCTGATGTCTGTCTGGCTCATTGTATAACTCTCACAAGAAGAGAATTCAATATTCCCGACATTGCTGAACCTGAAGCCCTGTTTCCATAGTAACTCCGCTCTCCGTCTCTCTAAACATAGCACCTCCCGGCTGACTACAGCTCTCCTCAGATCATCAAGCCCAGCTGAAGAGGAGGAAGATGCGTGGACACGGACGGGGCTGTTCTTGACTCGGGGCGATGAAACGATTCGACCGCTCGCCGTATTTACAGTCCGAGCCGAAGGAGACAACGTGAGACTGGGTGAGGGAAGGCTTTTTATTTCACCCCCAAAAAAAGATTTACACGGCGCCACTTGTTGCGCCGAAGAGGACACGTGCGCTTTGACAAAGACCCCCTCCCACAGTTCTTCTCTCACCTGCTACTGCCCCCCATCTGCCCCCCCCAAGTTTGCAAAAATCTGAAAATAGTAGCATCTTTCAAAACAGCCTGCTCCACTTCAGCCTCGAGCACACACGAGAATAAAGTGGGGCCGTCATAAATCAAAACTACGGCGCCCGTGACGGTTTGAGGACGAGAGGGGAGGTGGCTGAATTAGCATTTCATTTTCTGTTGTTCTTTTCTTTTTGTGTGTGTGTGTGTGTGTGTGTGTGGGCGGGGGGTAAATCTCCACAGGTGCTGCGGTGTCCAACGTGGGATGAAGAGAAAGTCTGGCCTTTTTACCACCAAAGAGTCAGAGAGGCATTTCTAATACCTCAATGCGATTGAGGAAATCATCTCCAGCCACTCAAGCATGGCAGCGGGGGCTCAACAATGGCATTCAGAGACATTTTTACACATACGACGATCCTTACTAAACCTCTCAGTTCATTTCCTGAAGAAGAACCTGCTGATATCTGACGCAACCTTGGAGGCGGCCGCACTCTTTCTCATCCGGCTGCGCTCCTTGGCTTGCAGAGCCGTCCTCTGTGTAGAGAGAGAGAGAGAGAGGGAGAGAGAGAACACGGAACATGACGGGAGAGGCTGAATCTGCGAAAAAATTGAGATCGATGCATCAGGCGCCTCAAGATTAAAGCGTCTCAAGCAGCAAGCGGGTCCCCTTATCGGAACGAGCAGCTCTCCGCATGGGTTCATACATGTCCGACGTGTTCCAAGCGTACACCCACTCGCACAAACAGCGTGAAAGCAAAGCACATTTCAGGCAACAATGAAAATCGTTTTTATAATTTCAAAGAAACCTCTGCTCTGCAATCAGTGGTGTTTTAAGAAGGGAAGATCTTCCCGAGGCAACAAATGCTACATATCAACATGTCGTAACCGGCACATCATGTCATGATATTACTGGGCAATAAATAGCTTGGCGGGGGACGGTGTGGCGTTTGATCAATGTGTTTGACATGTATCCCATTACAGTCTCCACGTATGATCCTCAACATGAGCGATGAGGCAGAGGATGGAGGAGAGACCCGACCACCATCTTAAATGTCAGACAAATTGCTCTGGCCCCTAAAAGTCAGTGGTTTTGAGTGCAGTGAAGCGGTGTGAGTGTGTGCGTGTGCGCTCGTACGGCTTTGTGGCACACGGTGCAGAGCGTCTGCAGGTTGTCCAGTGAGCACTGTCCTCCTCCGCTGTAGACCGGCCGGATGTGGTCGACCTGCCAGAAGTCCCCTTCGACCGGAGCGCGGATCATCTCGTTCAGCTGTGGGGGGGGCATGGGAGAAGGATCAATTTAGCAAATAAAATAAAATAATAATATATATATATATATATTTATCAAGCATTGATTGCGCCGACCTCCCACATGATCCATCTACGCCAAGAGTGCTGTTTAAGCAAAGATAAGATGTCTTTAGCAGAGCTTCTCAGGGTGCTAGAGTGACCTAAATTGTTATTTTGCCGCATGCACGCGCACACACGCAGGCGTTGCCGAAAAAACTAATCTCCGCACCACAGGGGCTCCTCTGCAATGCGCTTCACAATAAGAAACAAATACGTGTGGAGGAGCACTGATGACAGGGAGGCTCAAAAGTGGTGAAAATCTACAATCTACATTAAGGAAATAATGACAATAGGGTTTAAAAGGTTAAAATGAGGAGGTTGATGTACAATGCCGACAACAATCATTAAAATAAAGAGGAAAGTACCAAATTGTCCTATTTGTGGTGGTGGAAGATGACAGGTGACCTTTCGTCGTTATTAATGAGCAAGAAGTGCTTCAGCAAGAAATGGCAGTGACCTAAATAGATTACCCAGAATCACTTTTAAACTATAGTAATCATACGCAGCATTGTACATGGAGCTAATGAGTTACTGGCTGGACCTCGCTGGGATCTACACTTTACAACCAGGAGGCTGAACTTTGGTTCAGCAGCGGGCAAACGGAGAGAAAAAAAAGACTGGAAGCTAAACTGGAATGCTACTCGCGTGTTGTATTTTATTCTGAAAAGAAATAGAAAGATAGAAACGTCAGGAAAAGTATTAGAGAATAAAGAATAAGCAAGCGGAGAAGCAAAAGATGAGGCAAAAAAAAATCTATTTTCCTGCTTTGAGTGCTACTCTGCCGACATTAAGGCAGCGAGCTGAAATTGATCCCAACAGATTTAAAGAACAGGCCCGCTCACAGGGGCACAGTTCACGACACACACACGAACGAACCCCCAGTATGAGGCAAAGAATGAGCCAATAATCTGGAGGCTCCTCCACCGCTGCGCCGTCTTATCATGTGGCTGCGTTTGTTTCCTCTAAAGCTCGCCGCATCGATCGGCGCTCATGCTGCTGCCGGCGGCGGCAGTGTGTGTGGTTGTGTGTGTGTGTGTGTGTGTGTGTGTGTGTGTAAGGGGAAGTGGGGGGAATAGCTTTGCAGGATAACAGCCGACCAAATCAAACAGGCTTACTGGTCGAGGCCTGGCACTGGGGAAAAAAAAAGAAAGAAAAAGAAAATCAATGGGCCCAGCAATCCATTTACTGGGAGCTGGCCCTTCGGAGTGCAGACAACCTGTGTGTGTTTGTGTGTGTGTTTAGGTGGGTTGGATGGAGACAACGCAACACTTATTTTTTCACCGACGGAAATACATCAAGAAGGTGTGTGTGTGTTGTTGATGCTGAAGGTTGGTGCTTCCATTCCTGATATCTCTCCTCCATTAGGACATCTGTAAGGAAAAAAAAAACATCTGACCTCTTTGAGTGACAGCTGCGAGAGCCAGGTGTTCTCCAGCATGTCCTTGCGCTGGGGGGGCGGGGCGTCGCGGACCTTCAGGAACAGCTCGTGGGCGTGGAGGCCGCAGTGCTGACATACGCCCTGCTCCACCTCCAGCACCCGCGAGCGCATGTACGTCTGGCTGGAGCGCAACTGGAACTCCTCCTGGCACCTACGGGTGGGGAGGCATGAATATGATCTCGCACTGGAACCTCTACGTTTCACAACCCACAACAGCTGAGATTATTTTCTTCTGTTCCTGCAGGCAGCAGAGGAATGTTGTTACTGCGCTTTCTGCTGCTGTGGTTAGATTCTGCTGAGAGGCACACGTCTTTGTGTGGAAGTTTGATCACAGTCGGGTGTGGAGGAGCGAAGGATCTCACCTTGACTGTGGCGCCCTGAATCCGGCTCTTGAAAACCACTCACGGAAATTGAATTCCTACCTTAAATGGGCGGTGAGACTAAAGAGCATATTTGTTATTGGTCGGAATTTTGTCTCATTCAGAGCGACGGTGTGAGGAAGGTTGCAGCTTCTTGTTTAATGACGACAAGAGATCGCAAAGACTAAACGTCCCGAACTTTTCAACCCTTTGTTAAAAATATGATTTCTTTTTTTGCTTTAGGATGCAGTAAATTGACCTTGAGGAATAAATGTTAAAGGAAAATGTTAAGAAAAGGATCCATTTTAAACTTGTTTTGCACAGAAAACAATGGATAGGGCACAAAGAAAAAATGGTAGTCTGGATGTTCAAGCAATCAGACTATTTGAAAGCATTTAATATGCTTATCTTTGCAAACACGACATCGTAGTAAGCCCCCCCCCCACCGCCCCTCCGGGTGCTTCAGACTGGTTCCTTAGAACAGTCTGTGCAGCACTGAGGACCTGCAGGATCACGCATTTGGCTTCTAAACTGGGCGCAGCTGGCGTCGCTATACCTGTGGCTGCAGAAGCGGGTGTCCCAGGCTCCCCCGGTGGTCGGGCAGGCCTCCTGGCAGGACAGACACAGAGGGACGCCCTCACTGTCAACAGCCTGCAGGTAGCCTGACTCCGGCGGAAGAAATCCATCACATTTAACCGTCCGTTGGCTGTTTAGTAAGACAAATCCTTACATGTTATTACGTATCGAGCCAACAGGTGGACAACAAAGAGGGCGTTTGCACCGCGGCAAACAGCACCTGAGAAGCACGTGAGAAGTCGACGAGAGTAAAATATTGCAACAGACATATTTAGACAGAAGAGCAATTCTCCAGTATATATTATAGAGCACGCTGTCGCACTGCATATGGTAAACAATGCAAAGGCTAGATCACTAATGCGACAGTAAATATGGCCAGATGTGTAAAGTGTCAGACCCAAGTATGTAACATGAGAAATGGAAAAAAGGAGAACTATTTTCAAATGTCAGGCGCTAAATGAATGGCTTCCTTATATTTATGGCATCTGTTCTGTATCTTTTTGATGCAGTGGGAAGCAGCAGATTGTCCGCCCTTCGGGTCAGGGTAACTTCAAAAGAAGCGACCTTGGCCCGCGGGACCGCCATCAGTTTAAGCCAACGGAGTTTTCAATGCCAGCTCAGCTCTTTCAACACCAGCAACATAGCAAACGCATTTCAACATATTCATATTATATATTTTACATTCCAGTAAAAAGAATATATAAAAAGAATATACGTTTTCTTAGTGTTCTGCAAATGCAAAGTTAATGGATGTATTGCTGCTGTATGTGTGTGTGTGTGTGTGTAAAATGTCTACATACTGTGTGTGTGTGTGTGTGTGTATGCATCTGTGTGAGGGAAATATTTGAAGCACGTCTGTGTGTGTGCCCGGTCTCTTGGCAGAAGGACGGCTAGTTTGGGCTTTTGCCATGTTGTCCCAGCAGGGTGCTGGAGCCACGTCGGTGGGGACAGATGGACTAAATTCTCTCTCCCCGTGGTTTACAATTCAGACAGACAGAAACAGAGAAAGAGAGACAGAGAGGGAGAGAGAGAGAGAGCGAGAGCGAGAGGGGGGAACAAAGAGACATCACTACAGAGTGAGATTTAATCATTGAAATGAAGAAAAAAGAAATCTTAAAATAGGAACCTTGCAGCTTCAAAGTTGAGAAGATACCAACAAACTGGAGGTACCAAGAGACAAATATTGTGCCAGCAACATCTAGCGGATGAAAGAGAGACCGAAATAGATGCTTTTTTTTTACTGGTGTGCCCAAACTGAGAATGGTGAAATATGGTACTGGTATAAAAAAAATAAAAAAAACTAACCCAGAATTTCTTTCCAGTTTTCACTCGCTCAACAACATTTAACATAACTATTTAACTGCCAATGATCATATGCGCCACACATTTATCTTGAGAGTCATTTAAATTCATGTATGCGCAAAGCGGGCGAGCATGTTTGGCAGCTCTGCGTCGCAGTGTGAGGTAACCTGGCACTTCAAACCCCGGGAACAAATCACGCAACATGCCTCCGGCGGCAGCCGCACAGCCTACCTGCCGCCGAGCTCGTCCCCGACAGCAGGAAACCAAAAAGGTGCGGGAGGAGAACCACGTCGAAGCCCCCCACTGAACGGGAGCGATGATTTCGCTGGACTCGTCGGCAATGTCACGCGTGGGGTCGGTCTCGGTGTGAACATGGGAGACGTCGGGGTCGGTGCCGCAGCGGGTTCGGACGTGGTGTCGTTGGCAATCGATACAGGAGTAAGAGACAAAAGTAGATTGGAGAAACAGACGAGCGCGACGGGGCTAATGTACCGCTCAACTCAAACAAACGAAACAAAGAAATTCATATTCGGAGCCTAAATCACTTTTTTGGAATGTCATGCAAATGACAAATTACAGCTATACTATATGTACTATATTATCTTTATCATCTAACCATGTAGTTGCCATGCAACTATTAGCTGGTTATGTGAGCTTTTTCTTTTTCTGACAAATTTTAAAATAATTGTTTATTAACAACACGCTGGCTTTTGACATTATCACGGTCTTTTTTTTTTGTTGGCATGTAAGCCATAGAGCCATGTATTTGTACCTTTGCATTCCTCCAGGCGAACAACCTGCATTGTGTACACAGGCGTACGGCTCAGACTGCACCCTGTAAAGACGCTTCATGGTACATCATGTGTATGGAACCGCACCCGCTGTGCCCACATGAGAAAGACTGTGCTTTCCGCAGGTTTCCATGGTGATATTCCATCCTGGGGCTGAGCAGGTTGCGTCTCAAACCCTAGATCGTATTATGGTCTGTATTTACTGTACTAAACGCGCGCAGGAGGCCTTTGTGCATCTACCACACACACACACGCACACACACAGATCTCCATGGAGACAGCGATGGGAAGGAAAAGGAAATCACACCAAACCCCCAAAGCCGAAAGCCGCTTGTTTGCACAGACCACCTTCAAGTGGCGACCGTGAGACCTCATCGCTAACAAACACAAACGAGTCTGTTCATTCCAGATAGTCGAGAAATAAAAATTAAAAAAAACTACTGTGAAGCTCTGCGCCTGGAGAGGATGCTATTTAGGACTTTTTTTTCGAGATGTGAACACGGCATGACCTCACCTCGCCGCCAACAGCCGCCCACACGGGCGCCCTTTCCCCTGCCTCTCTGAAGCGGGTGGCGTCGGCGAAGCGGCCGCCCTGCGCTTTGTGAAGAGGTCCTCCTTGGTGACCAGTCGGACGCTGCCTCCCTCCTGCTGCGCCCTGCTCAGCGAGGCCTGGGCCACCTCGTCCTTGCCGAGGTACCTGTGAAAATGGATCAGAGGGTTTATGTAACACGATGCAGTGCGCGGGGGCGTAGAAGGAGATCGCTTCACAAACTCACTGGACAGTGGGAGGTAAGAAGGGAAATCTGATGCTGCTTCAGCTCAAAACTTTTTATTTTTCCCCAAATTGTGCTTAAATGCACAAACTCCTACTTTCATTGCTAATTCTCTTTATTTTCTTATATCCCGATTGTCCTCTTCCCCGCGCTGAACGCCACCACCTTTTGCTGCTGCAGGCGTCTAATTTCCCCCGCAGGCATCGTCAATCACCGGATCTAATCCGTCCACCATCCACGCTGGTTTTTATGGCCTCTTGTAACGACGATGTTCGGTGTGCAGGTCGAGCATTGCATCAAACAGTGCCTGTCAATGTGGACAGGATTAAAATGACCCCGGGGCGTGAAGAGTTGACAGAAAACGCAGGAGGGAGGAGTATGTGCGGAAAGGGCAGGAGGGGGGAGCAGAAAAACTCTGACTTGTTTGTTCTAGGTGGAAAGAAAATTGCGGTGGTACTGAGAGTAAAGTGACCAATCACCAAACCGTCCCCAGGTAACATTAAGGCTTTCCGCAGAAGGATGGTACAACACTCTAATCGTCTCCTCGGAGCAATTACCCTTTCTCTGGCCGCCTCTACGGGGCGGGTCAGAGATCAGGATCAGCCAGTGTGGACTCTCGCTTCAAGGGAGCCAGCTTCTACTTTCATTATTCCATCTCAGCTTTTGCGGAGGTATTTCGTGGACCTGTGAGGATTTTTTTTGTGTTTTTTGCGTTTTTCTGCTCTGAGATCTCTCGCTCTCATTGGATAACTGACAAAGATTCAGGCTTCTCAAAGGTAGCGTATGTTAACCCCTTATGCATTAGTTGAATATTAGATATTAACGTCACTGTAAAGAAAAGGATTATGTCAACGATCCAAAAGAAACGGCACATTTAAAAAAGACAGATGGGGTTTCGCGGGCAATTGTCTCGGGGCACGAAGCTGCTCACTAATGTTGTGGAGATCGATAGGTGTGTTGGGCTTAATAGGCTTTACAGTGACAATTCTGAAACTTAGTTTGGCAGAACAGGAAAAGATTCACTTACACCCGTGAAAACATTATCAATAATTGGAGCAATTCCCAGACCCGAATGTAGACATGTGGAAGAATATTCCACTATTTAACTTAACCACAAAGGGCAGATACAAGTTCTCTGTTATATGTTGATCAACACTATTTAGCATTCTTTAATTGAGCTGTATAATAAACTATGACCTTTATGAAGATGTAGGGGAGTAACGTCTACCTAAAAACCAACAGGTTATTTCATTTTACCTGTATGCTTACAGGATGTGTTTTTAGTCTGACCATGATTACCAATAAATTACTATCCAATTAGAAGTTAAATAGGAATGTGTTGCCCCTGCTAGACTACGGTTTTAATATCTCCAGTTGGCCCCACACAGACATTTCACTCCACCTCCATCTGGACGGAATCCTCTGTGGGAGCTGGATGGAAAGAAGGTAAGAAAAAAATTGAGAAAATAAAAAAGCGATGGATGGAAGCAGAACGTGGAGGAGGGAGACACATCAAAGAGAGGTTTTCCCTGGAAGCTGTGGGGAGATGAGGAAGGAGGAGAGTCTTCATCAAACACTCGAGCTCCCTCCGCTTCAAACGGTCCCGGCACAGAGGCGGGATCAAATGAGATACCTCACGCTAAACTGGAGCCCGACTGCCGTGTGGCTGCGTGTTTGCATGTTTTCTAATGCAGCCGGGTCCTCGGAGAGTTATTAGGGAAACTACAGTGGCTGCTGCTCCTTCACTATGTATTTTATTTTTTTAGCATTACTAGTGTCTGACCACTCTAGGCGAGCAAACCTGATGGGCTTGTGTCTTGTGTGATTGACCAGGCCACACTCCACTTCTCTTCTCCCCCAGGAGCAGAAACTTCCTGGAGCCCCGCTGGTTGCCGGGTAACTGTTCGGCAGCTGGGGACAGCACCACCGTGCCACCGACAGCGGTGTATTTCCCCCCACCCCCAAAAAATGTCAAATTATGCCTGAAAGACAAGTCGGCCTCAGTGGATTATCTGGCACCTCGCTGCAGGGCCGCCGCAGACAGGCAGCGGCACCGCGGGGCGGGCCCACGGGTTCGGCACCGGTTGCCACTTTATTCAATTACAGGCACTGCAGCGGTCAAAACATTTAAGATGCGTCCGGTCGTTATCGACACTTCACGTTAACAAGGCGATTTCAATAAAAAATGAATACAAGAATGCTGCATCTGAAGCTGTATTCCTTAAAAGATTCCAATCCTGGTTGAAAAGGACACCGTTTGACTCCGCCAGTAACAGTTAAAACATTCTTCTTTTCTTTCTTAATTTAAATGCCGACTTCAGACATAAAGTCTGGCTAAATATGACATGTCACACCACACCTCTTATAAATAAATGTGTAAAAAATGTGGGTGTTTATCAGGCCGAGATGGTCCAATGAAAGACAAAATAAAAGTTGTGTGATTGCGAGGGCGGAGCCGAGCGGGTTATTTTCTTTGTTGTGTGACTTAATCAAGTCCCGGATTTCTTCGAGAAGTGCAGCGCTGAATTGCTGCAGAAGAAGCTGCAGAAGGCGTTAATATAAGTTGCAAATAGTGACAAAAAAAATATTTAAAAAAAAGGGCTCTACAGATTCTCAGCTGAATGTTCCCACTACTTATCCATCTTGACAGAAGCCGCGCTGCAGTATATGAGTTTTGCATTATTGTTATTCCAAGGATTTAACATTATTAACAATATTGCAACTCAGATCTTTGATATGCAATTGTTTTTGTTAGTATTTTTGGTTATTCTAGCAGTCAGGGCAAATAACATTGTCCATGGATTTTGTGTATGATGACTGTGTAAGTCATCTTTCTTCAATCGGGTTTAAACTGTCCTCACCTGTACAACAGCCTTACTTTTTTTGAATAATTTTACAAAACATGGCTACTTCCATGTGTGCAACCAAATAGCTACCACTATTAAGATAATTACTGTGCATATGTACAGGATGGAACATTCTTATTCTATTATGAAGGCGTATTATAGAAGCAATAATGAGTTTTTAGCCAACGTGCCGTACCCTCAAGTGACGACGCAAACCCGATTTAAAATCCCCATAGCTCCTCTGAAATCACTATAAATCACCACAAGTTGCTTAGGCCGACGGCGTCCGCGGCGCCGGGAAACAACCCAGCCCGAGTGCATTAAGTTCGGAGCCGTTGAAAGCAGAGAGCCTCGGCCTGCCGTTGAAAGGCGAGCGGTAAGCCCCCCGCTGAGCCGAAGCCGGAGCCTGATTGGTTCTGATTAGCGGATAAATCAAACAGGTATCAAATCAAGCCGGGGCCAATTGCCTCCTACTTACACCTTGATTAGGTTCACGCACCCAAACACGTTCCCTCGGTTGGGAAACACTGTCTTGCGTGCTCATGCACACGCACGTGCGTGCACACACGTGCGTGCACACACACACACACATTTACCCTGTAATTGGCAAACTCCCCACGCCTCGATCCACGCCAGCGGTAATTAGTGTGCGAGTAACAATGCATGTTTGTCAAAAAGAACAAAGAAAGATAAACACACATGCACAGAGCTCATCCTGTGCCTCAGCTGACACACTTTGATACACCCACACACACACACACACACACACACACACACGCTCTATGAAGCCTTCTACGATGCCGGGGGCCGTTAGTATTTACAAATCGTCCGGTTTTGCTGTAAAATCTTGCATGTTGCTCTTTACGGGTTCTGACATTAAAGTCGGAAACTAAGCGCGTTAAAATGACCTCTGAGCGGGAAACGAGAAAAACGTGATGCCATCAGTTGCATTTGTTCGCTCTCTTTGATGTTTTGTTTGTGGCAAATGTACTACACACAAAATATGAGTAGTAGGAGGTGGAGAGACTGAATACATGATAAAATGAATTCCATTCATACAATATTATCATATGTGCAAAATATCTGTATTTTGTTCTTACATATCCCGGTTGGCCTACATCACCTCACACCTACTGGGATCTATTGATTTTCTCACTTGAATTGTTGCTAGGCGATTTCATCAGCTCCATGTAAGCAAACAACAGCTCTGTGAATTAATTGAAGACACAGAAAACACTTTTCCTCCCATATATGATGCAAAATGTCCTAACCCGCCCCCCTTTGCCTCTGATTGGCTAGAACTTGTTGCTTTGGTTGGCTTCGGGGGGCGAGGGAGAATTTCAGACAAATATCCTCAATAATATGAATGTGAAAATACTGATATGAAGGTACTAAGCTTGTTAGCATGATATGCTAACAAACGTGCCTCACGCTGGAGCAGAGAAACACACCTTGGGGTTCGATTATTTCATTAGAGGACCAAACATACGACCGTACGATGTTTTTTTTGCAAATGCTCAATCACCACCAAAGCAGCATGTTTTTCTTTCGGGAACACATTTCCCCCCCGCAGGAGTCTGACCTCTTGGTGCTGGAGTGAGGACGCTTGGCGGCGGCCAGCTGCTGCAGGCCCAGAGTCGGGCTGTGGAAGAGGAGGCCGCCGCGCCGAAGCAGCTTCTGCTTCATGGCGGCCAGGCTGCTCCATTCCTGGACGAACCTCAGCACCTGCAGGGGGAGGGGAGGAGGACACGACACCTCACTTCAAATTCAATTCCAAGCTCCAATCCAAGAAAAAGAAAACGCTGGAGCCTTCGTCAACAAACTTAGTTTGGATATTGGAGGCATTTTGTTTTGTGGAATATACACTATCGAAACAAATAACACAAAGCTGCAGAGCGCAGACATAAACACACACACACACACACACACACACACACACACACACACACACACACACACACACACACACACACACACACACACACACACACACACACACACACACACACACACACACACACACACACACACACAACCGTTTTTCAGACACCCGAATAAAAACCCATCAAAGCGAGAGAAAGCTGTATATGCTTTCAGCCAAGTTAAGGATTCAAAGAAAATTCACTGGCAAAATAACAAACAGCACACAAAGCACCAAGGCCTAATGGGCAATTTACCTACATATATTACGCCGGAGAGGGTTTTTTTTCTCTTTCCTTTCCTCTGCATTCTCATCATTATTTGAGTGAAAACAAACAACTCACGGCCAGGTTTGCTTTGTTGACGTTTTTGTGGCGGTAGATACAGTAGATATTTTGATTGAAATAATACCCATTAGTAGCAGCATATTGAAACAAAATCAAATCAAATCAAGCTGTAGTTTGAGATCGGGGTAACTAGACGATAAAGTTCCTCTAAAAGGCACTTGGAAGCGAGCCGAGGGAAAGATCAGAGGTCAAAGCAGCGCGGTACGGATGCTCTACAAAGACCGAGTTTGTCTCGTAAAGATGAAGACTCCGGATGGGCTTCAGAAATATGCCAACAGCACGCCGAGGTCATCGGGAGGACGAGAGCGGGAGGCCGTCTTCAGCTTCCTTCCCCCTGCGAAGGTCGGCCCGGTTTAATGGGTGAGCATCTGACAGAAACTGGGAGGCCTTAGATTCACCACTGTGTGGCCGGGCGGAGTGTTTTGCTGATCATATGGTCATATCTGAAAAGGGTAAGGCCAGAAATATAAGCCTTATTGCTTTAATATACAAATGAATAAGCCCCAGAAAAAATGAATGTATTTCATCACGTATTGTTAATATATCTTCTTCCTCTGGGCTTCGTTTTGTTGTGTAAAAACTATGACTAAGCCACGCTGTTTATCTCCGCCCAATCCTGCATCCACCATCCTGTTGCTGGGAATACCCATCAGAGCACCCAAGGTGGATTAATTCGCCGCTAAAAGATATAGTCCCTGATCAATGAACTATTTCCTCCTGTTTGAGTCACGTTTGATTAAAAATGACATCGCACAGCTGCTCCAGCCTCATTACGCTGCACATGCAACATTATTTAATCCCTTAAAAGATGATTCTGATATCTTTGAGAACAGTTCCTCGTAAATGTTATTCCTCTCTGCTTGAACAGAGAGCCGGCGAGCTCCCTCAACTCCCCTCCCTCCCTCCCTCCCCCATTCCCTTCCAGGCCCGCTATTAAACCGTCTGGCCGCTATTGATTCTGATGGACATTTGGAGCCTAACAGGGCGTGAATGATGGTTCAGAGCAACATGCAACTCACGCCTTTGCCTTTTTTACATTTTCCTTTTTTTTTTTTTATACAAAAAGCGACATAAACAACGTGACAGGACGGGGCGGCCGTCAGCGGCGCCCGTTACCGCCGCAGATTGAAGGATTTAATATTACCCGGGGTGGCGCGCGGGGTCGTTTGAGGCGCTGATCCGTCTCGTTTAACGACCGCCATAAAGCGGCACTTTCTCGCTCTTGCTGATCCCGATCCGCCCCCACAAACACACGCACACACACGCAAACGCACACACGGCGCCCTCTGTTCATTTCCCCTCCTTCATCACAGCCCCCCACGTCCCCAACGCCTTCTCCCTCTCCCACCCCGGGCCCTGCGGTGGTGGTAGTGGGCGCCCGCGCTGCCGCCGATCCGTCAGGCGCCCGATGACGCGCTGCTGCTCTTCCTCCACCTTCTTCATCTTCCCCCCATCATCACCATCATCATCACAGGGGTCATTAGCTTCACGTGGCTGCATGGCGCACATCTGTTTAATAACCCCCGCGCCTCGCCTTCACCGGGTCAGTGGAATTGGCGAGACGGCCCTGCTGGCTGCGATATCAAACCAAATTATCTCCTCTAAAATGAAGGCAGCCTCCGGGCCTGCAGGCTGACAAGAAGAAAGTAAAAAGGTCTCACTGCAGTCTTGAGCATATGTAGAGTTTTTCCGTCGTCTTGGAAATGATGTGAAGTCACACGCTTTGATATCTTTCTAATCAATCAAAAGAAGGAAATATTGGCTCATTTTACAACCCCCCCTCCTCCGCCTTTCCGAGGCATTTGCGGCGGTAATGACACATTAACTAGCTGCGCGTCCCCTCGTGCAAACACTCAGGGCCCACGCGCACGCCCACGCACGTATCACAGCGCCTCACGCGGGCGGCGCGCCCACGACGGGGCCCGGCGGCGAGTGGCCTACCTGCGTTCGGTTTTCCCGGCGCCGGCTGAAGGCCTCGGGCAGCTCGTCCCAGTTGGTGAGCTTGATGTCCAGCGGGACGAAGCTCAGGTTCAACGGAGTCCCGTCCTAGCGCAGGGGGGGAGGGAGAGGAGAGCGTAAGCAAGAGGATGTGTTACCGCTGCTGCTAAAACCACCATCCCTCTTACTTTCCTTTAATGAACCGCTGTGTAAGGAATTGTCGGGGAAACACTGTTTATCTTAAAATCTTTAAATTATTACAGCATATCGTTTATACTGATGATATAATTTAGGTTTTTCTCGTTGGATGGGTGTTTTCTTTTCTTTCTTCAGAGACTCTAAACCAAAATAAAGTAAATATAACAAAACAAAATGTTTGAATCACTAAAACAAATAGTATGGCTGGAGACCAGACTGGGGTAACGGTGCCTGTAATTGGAACCATTACACTTATTTCCTTTCTAGGGTTTCATCACCTCTACAATTATTCAATTCCTCAACAAAAGTAAGCAAAAATGCTAAATCCTGCACACATAGCTTTACCATATGAAAAATACAAGTGTGTCATTTGTGCTTGGAGCTTACATCACTTACAGCTCATTACGTTGGGACAATGAATGGCACGAAGTAATTGCAGCAATTAATCTCAGTAGAGCTAAAATTATGAAGTTTAAAAAAATGTATTTCTCTTTTTTTGTGAGTAAATGCCAAACACATTTTGGGCTGAAATCCCCTCAGAACAACACACTTGCACACACAGTCCCATCATGGGTTCTTTGTATGTTCCTGACTGTCTCCCAGCTTTAGTTAGAAGCCTCCTGAATCATTTCTGCTGACCGGCAAAAAGACGTCAGAATGTATAGAAGCAATTGAGAAAAAGACTCTACTGTTTAAACCCGTTTAAAACAGTGTAACATCAGTTGAGTCTCAGTCTCTGCGTTAAAGTCTTCTTCAATACTGCGGGGTCTTCATTTAGTGAATTATGCTGCATTTAGAAGTTGCATCGACCATTAGGTAGAGTACTCTTTCGGGTGTGTAAGCGGTTATTGGCCGGTCTCCGGCCCGATCCTCTGGTACATGAAACCAGTTCCGGGTAATAACACAAATGGGAACCTTGATTATTAGAAGGTCATTTTGACAACTGAGAACAGCAAGAAAGAAAAAATGAGTCTTTCTCAAAATGAATCATGAGAAGCCATCGGGTTAACAACAACACATTGCTCTATAATTTCGAGCCAGAGAACCAGGTTTATAGCATTCAATTAGTTACATTGTGTTCTGCTCCCCAATTTGATACTTGACGTATTTTTGGCTGAGCAATCACATCCGTAATGACGAACTAGCAGAACTTGTATCCAATCACATCAGAGTTCTGTAATCTGCCCTCATATTATTATTTTTTTTTGGTTGCCATGGTAATTCCTGTAACCAAGGGGCTTGTTAGGGATCTCACTTGTTTTTTTTTCATCCTAATACATGTACACTTTGAACATAATAGTTCTCCTGTGACAGTACGCATGCATTAGTAACACAAAATAATGAGGATTTTGCAAAGAGTATAAACAAAGCGGCATATACCCACAAGAATGCAGCTCGCTGTGATTGTGGGTAATCACGCCGCCGCAGCTTGGAGGTAGCTGCATAATCATCCTAACAAAAAATAACCACGTTAAAGAACATTTTCCCCCTCATCATTGCTTCATTAGCACTAACTACTGTCAACTTGAAGCCCGAGAAGCCACTTAAGGCTGGGCGTTAACTTCACTGCGGCGACAGCCTTCGTGCCGAACATCGGGGAGGAAAGAGGCCGGGCGGAGGGTTTAGGTCAAATCTGAAATAACCTGTAGCCACTCTGACCGATGACAGAGAGGACGGGTTGGGAGGAATGATTTAGTTTAAAAGGTTAATACCTGCCGGAAGCTGACACAGGGATTTGGAGATACCAATCGACAAGAGGACGGGTTTTTTTTCTTCTTTTTTTCTGTGCTGTCCCCTCGGTGCACGGAGGCCCGTGTGTTTATTTGGATTATGGCAAAATAAATACCACGGAGACTCAGGGGAACGGCAGAGCCGGTTGTGCTGTTGCAGCATGCAACGGGAATTAGAGCCTTTGCAGATGAGATCGAAAAGAGGTGCACGATCCTCCCCAATGCCGGATAATGTTCCACAACGATCAGTATTAAATATTTCATCAGGTTACAATAAATCAAAACCCCGATTTTCTCTCCTGTTTGGGAAACGCGGTACGAGATCTGGAACCGGCAGAAATTATAATTCCCCGTTGATTCCTTTTATATTTCAAGCAAACATTAATTTCCTTTAATTCTTCGTAATAAAATGTATGCGAGTAGTATATATAGACAGGGTTCCTTTAGCTGGAAACCAGACTAGTGAATTTTAAAAGTGAAGCAGAGACATTTACAAGATAAGAAAATAGAACCAACCATTATTTTGTGAATCGTAAGCTCGTACTTCCAAAAGGAGTTTCCTTTTGGGGATATTTTCCAACTCCTCCTCTAAATACATTATGCAGATGAAGTTTTCTATTGATATGGGCTTTATAGCATCATTTTTGATAAGGGTATTTAAGTGTTATGGTAACTTAATGAGCACCCAAAGAATAATAAAAATAAATATTTAAGCACCACATAATGCTGAATCGTCCATGAAGTCCACCCGCCAACTGCGCCTGGTGTTGAGATGACACCCGCCTGCCGACGAGCAGGATCAGGGAATCCCTGACTAGTTTGATGTGCAGATAACGGACATAAAATTCCTAACACTAAATATTTCTCATTCGAGACCCGGCGGTGTCAAATGCGCCTTTGGTTGTGCACCGAGCGGGGCCTCCTGTGAGAGCCCTGCTCCGGGATTATCCTGAAGTGACAGCTTTCCGGACAAAATTCCGACAGTTTATCATTTAAACGACGGCGGGGGACATTTATCTCCGCGGCTTATCGCCTGAGCCACGCGCACGCGGCACTTCTATTGCCGGTCCAGTGCCGGCGGCGCAACGTTCCATTGGTGATTCAGTTCTATGTAGAACCCCCTCATCTATAATCTGCGTCAGCGGCGAAGGAATCCGATCCCCTTGTGAATTAAAACCAAAAAGGGGGCGGCGAGTGTCTCGCAATACGATTGATGCGCAGGTCTGCGGGAGAGTAGGTCCTAAACCGTTAGTTTGTCTTTGGCATCTTTAAACGGGACATTTTGTTTGATTATCTGTGTGAAGTTGCAGGGGTCTTCACGCCTCCCCTGCCGTCCCCCCCAGAGAGGTCGCCTGCAGTTTGTTAAGGAGACGACATGATTGGTTGCTGCAGGTAAGCGGGCTCTGGTTCCTCTTCTGGCTCGGTGCCGTCGTCTCTATCCCTCGGTCAGCGCTTTCAGAATGAGCCGACGGGATGCTGTTGAGGCGGTGGGGGGGGGGGATAATCTACAAATATATGTGTGGTCCGCCCTGCTGCTGTTGTTGTTCTTTACTATTTCAACAGCGCAGCAAGATGTTCAATTGTTCAGAAAATAAGGATATTATTCTAGTGATTTACTGCAGCAGTGTGCTTCCATAAAGTTGGGGGCTGTGTGAAAGATTTAAAAAATAAATACAAGTCAACGCTGGAAATAAGACTTTTTGTCTCCAGCTTATTCAGCGCTGCCCGCTTGTTTTACACTTAAAGTATAATAACCCACCACATTAAGTTACATTAATGTTATTTGTATTCTAAATAGGGAAATCTTCTATTTTTATTTTCTTTTTGTCAATAGAGCACTTCCTTGTTGCTGGGAAACTGAAGCTGGATGGGTCGAGCTGGGATGCTACACCTCCCACGATGCAACACGACTCTCTCTGCTGGGTCTGTCATCACCACGGTGTGACGCAAGGTTTACGTTTACGATCAAGCTCGAGCCAATGTAACCCTGCTGACATCACTATGACATCATCAGTTGGCAGCGCAGGTACTGATTCAGGCTCTTGTCATCTCCCGCCTGGACTACTGCAACTCCCTCCTGGCAGGTCTCCCTGCCACCGCCATTCGACCTCTGCAGCTCATTCAGAATGCAGCAGCTCGACTGGTCTTCAACCTTCCGAAATTCTCCCACACTACTCCACTCCTCCGTTCTCTTCACTGGCTACCAGTGGCTGCCCGCATCCAGTTCAAAACATTGGTGCTCACGTACCATGCTGTGAATGGATCGGGTCCAGCTTACATCCAGGACATGGTCAAACTCTACATCCCAACCCGCGCACTCCGCTCTGCATCTGCAAAACTACTCTTCCCTCCCTCACTGAGAGCAAAACACTCGACTAGATCACGACTCTTTGCTGTCCTCTACCTCGACTAAAGACTAACAAATTGTAGCCCTTAAATTGTACTTGTAACGTCACTCATCTATAGCAAATTGAAAATTGGCTTTATTGAGGAAATTGCACTTTCTTGTTTCTTGTTCTCCTGAGTTTGTACCCTATGGTTGAATGCACTTATTGTACGTCGCTTTGGATAAAAGCGTCCGCTAAATGACATGTAATCAGTTATTTTCTGAGATTTGACAACAGGCGAAATGTACCATAGAGATGCTTTTACAGTAGAGTGCTACTTCCTGTGATAAGTAATCGGTTCTCGCGATGCAGGTTGACTGCGCCTTTAGATGCATCAAAATAAAAGAGGAACATTTGTGCACCGAAGACACTAAAACAAATAAAAACAGGTGGATTGTGGATGAAAGAGGAGGTTTGGTAATTCCTAAACCTTTCATCTGCATGTGAATTGGTTGAGAGAGCTTCTCAAACGGGCTCTTGTTCCTCCAGAAACAGACTCGAGGCGGTCGGGGTTAATATCGAGCGTCAAGCCTATAACGACACAGCGGAGTTTGTTGTTCAAGTTCTACAAAGTGCCGCTTGGAACCGGACTAATTTGAGCTCTTTCAATCACCTCGCCCGTGATGGTTTCCTCGCATCTCTCCCGTTCGCTAATTGGCAACACGCGACAGAGCGGCACGTTCCCTCGTTTTCAATCAGTGCCTCGTCGTTTACAGCTCTATCTCTATATCTTCATATCGGTGAGACTTTGCACTCCCCCGGCCCAAAATAAATAGATAAAAGAGTTGATTTGGCTTTGTTTGTTGTTCAGTACAAAACATTGAGCGGTTAAATGCTCCTTCAGTTTTAATTATTCTCACGGCCTTTAGAAACTACAAACATGCTTCTGACTCTCATTTAAAAGTAAAAAAGACCTCCTGCCTCCTCATAGCCTCCGATGCTTTTGCACTTTACCGTCTTCAAATAGCTGCATGAATAACAGTTTGGAAGGTAATATCTGGTTGCCAGCCCGGGGCACCACATCAGGCTTTGTTTCACACTGAAGGGAAAAGAGGAGCATCGCTGTAACATCCAGCTTTCTCTGAGTGGAAGAACAAATTAAATGTGGCCGCTTCTGAATTTATCGCTATTGCACACTAGATGTTTTTTCCTTCTTCTTTTTTTTACACTGGTCCTTTCCTCAGGCCAGAATGCAGTTTAGTAAAGGAAAAGTAAAGGATGTTGGCATCTATCATCGGCCTTGAGATAACGTAGAAACATGGAGGGCTCTCACAGAGCCGGTGTTGATTTGTCCGCTCCGGGCTACCGTAGAGACAATATCTGTCTCTAACTATTGCTTATAAGCAGGAGGTCCAACACATCAGCACGTACTCCAGTGCTCCGTGTAAAGGCGTCGCCGAGTAGAACACTGAGTTTTTATACACTTGAAGGCAGTTCTTAACGCCAGAGAAGCCACAAATTGAGATAAGAACTCAGGTGGAGCTGAGGGTAACACCCCATGCTCCTTTGCTCGAAGGTCTGTGAGAGCAAGATAACCCTCTTCCCCAAACACAGCTGCAAACCCTAGATCTTTCTATCTCTCCATCTCAGGGTCAACCACTGAGATCTGGCTTTTAGCGCAAGACCATTGTTCACAGAATGTTTTACCACTACACGCATCTCACAGTAGCCACAATTTATTGCGCACCTATATTGGACACTGTTTTCTGACACATAGATACAGTTTTAACAATCATAATACATTTATTGAAGTAATGTGAATTTGCAAAGAATAAGCACAAGTAGGCCTAGGACTGGCCCGTAACAACACAACAGACAAACAACCCAAATAATACAATGCCTAATTCTTTGAAGTTTTATAAGAACTAATTCAAGTTGGAAAAGTGGTATTTTTCTACCTTAGTGGGATTTCTGGCACTGAGAGGAGGAAGCTAGTCTCTCATAGTCTGGACAGTAAGAGCTGAGTGCCAGCCGTAAGCAGACTGCAAGGTGGTCATCAGTCATGGTGGATCTGTATTTTGACTTGATGATTTTCATATGTGAAAAGGCAGACTGACACAAATGTGTTGATCCGAAAAGTGCAGTCAAATTCTCTGCAGTTTGTCTGAGGTTGGTGTACTTCTCTTTCTGCATTAGATTCCAGAATTGGACATTCATGTCAGGTGTTGCTCTGGATTTGAGCTCAATGTCATTCTTCAGTGTGAGGATCTCATTCTCAACAGCACAGTTATCCAGGTTGAAGAGTAATGCCACTTTGGACGTTATACAATCCACATCTATATTTTATCCAAATGGAAAACAGACATAGCTGACAACAGGCTCAATGGATGCAAAGTCAGTGAAGCGCCTGTCAAATTCACACGCTCTCACGCCACACCTCCGATTTCTCACGCCCAAAAAATTGGGAGACTACCATTGAAAAAGAGGGGCGCCAGAACACAACAGTAATGTAAGGATCCCTTTCCTGTCCATGGTCACGTTTACAACGCGCCCGGTATCGCGCTGCGCGGATACGTCAGCGCGCTCCCATCAGCGGAGCAGAAAGCGCTCCGTTTCCTTGTTTCTAAATAAATCTATTACAATCAAATTGATGTCTCGAGTTCCATTATCGAGAGTCGCTACAGTAGTGCGTTAGGCTGCGCTGGTAGGCGCACTGCATTATGGGACAATCTATGGATCCATTTGAATCCCTATCTGTTATGTTCATGTTGTAGTTTATGTGTGTTTTTCTAGGTTCTGTTGTGTTGTGCTCAAATGTTACTGTTTAATGTGTAAGAGTGTGGCCACCATGACCCAACTTAGTATCGCTGTGTGTGAAGTTCTGTGTTCAACGCCTTAACAAAGTGTCTATCCCGGGGTCAAAATTTCTCGCGATCGACTGCAACTCAGCCCGCGATCGCCTGGTTGGGCACAACTGATCTAAATGAACCATAACTTACAAAATGAGCATAATGGTGTACTGAAGAGGACTTGAAACTAAAGATGGAACCCATTGACTCGCGTTGACAATATTTACGGAGGTACTAAATCCAGAGAGAAGCAGAGTCCTTTTTCCACCGACGTCTAAACCACCAGACTTCTTGCTGCAACCAGAGTAGTCGCCCCCCCGGATGGCCGCTAGACAGAATGCGGCTTTAAAAAGGAAACCGCTATTATAGATAGAAATTAGGAAAGAAGCCGATGGGTGACCAGGCCAAACCAAAGCACAGGGTGGGGGAGAGGGGGCATTTTGAGGTAACGGCATTAGAACCTCGTCCAGCCCGTCATCCAACACGCCCGCGCTGACACGGTACCTTGGAGTACAGATACACGCGGTCTGTGTACTGGCTGGCGCAGAACTGCAGGCCGGGATGGACGGGGTAGGCGTCGTCTCCGTCGTCGCCCACGTCGTCGCCATCGACCTCGGCAGCAGGGGGGGGGGACGCAGCAGCTCCCCGGTCTGCGGGGCAGAGAGGGAGAGGACCGGCTGAGTATATATTATTGGCTCATTATTGGCTTCCTCGGCTTTATTGGTAGCTGGGCTCCTTTGCATCGTGTCGCAGAAGCATTAAACACTGGCAGCTTTTCAGAGTTATTACACAGAGCACAATATTAAGATATGACATTTGTAGCGCATCGTTAAAAATGTGGTTGCATACCGCTGGATATTTAGTTTTATTGCTTTCAAAACACTTGATTGAGGAATCGGAAATGAAAACAGTTCAGTTATTATCTTTGACATTTTCATATAGATAGGAATGGAAGTTGATTACCGGTTGATGTCACAACGATGAGTTCTTATCGTACCCGGTTTGGTGTTTTGAATATGCCTCATTGTCAACACAGGACGGACATGAGCGTGGAGTGGGGACAGTAAATTGGATCCAATTGAACACTCACACGTGCCGCTGGTCACCGGTCTGAGCGTTTGTCTCTAAGCCGCACAGACCGAGCCTTGCATTTGTAGAATCACGCTCTATCTGCCCTCTGCGACACCTCGGTCCAGCACGAGAGTGCCGGGTTCAATCTCTTAACAAATAACGAATAACGAATAATCCTTTTGCCCCGACCCGCTCGGCTACGCCTAATGTTCTGTGAACGTCCTTTTCAGCGCCCCGATTCGCCCGTCACGTTTCCTCTCACCAATTTCACCCGAACAACACGGGTGGGAGCGCAGCGAGGGAGGAGGAGAGAAGGAGTGTAAGGGTGATAAAGTGGCAAGTAAGGGATTACTCTGTGTTAGGTGGGGGGAAAGGAGGGGAGGGGCGGGGGGGGGTTCGCGGCCATTAATGTCAGCCGTGTAGCTCGCTCATCCTGCCAGCGTCTCGCAGGAAAAAGGTCAGCCGGTGGAAATGAGAGCGCCGCTGCTCGACCACGCTTCATTTAGACGATGACCTACAACACTGATGATAATACTCGCCTTGAATCACTCCGCACGGCCAGTTGTCTGCCAGCGGTGAGAATGCGTGTTCTGACGGGGTTTTTGGACCATTGAAACAGGCGCCGCCGTGTACCTGGTGGTCATCAGCTTTAAGGAGCGTTGAGTGACAGAAGAACATATGGCTAGAAAGAAAGGCCCTCCAGCAGACAAACACCAAAAGGGCAAATATATTTTCTCATTTTTGGGAAGTTATGGGATCTGCCATGGTTGGTTTATTTCAAATGACGGATCTTTTCTCACGTGGTTGAAGTGGGCGGGGTTTAGTGCTTCCTATTAGGATTTTGTTGAAACCAACATTTTAATATTGAGCAGGTTCAAAAAATACAGTAAATGAAGTGACTTCTACCTTTTATATGTATGTTTAATTCCCAACAGTCTTTTATTTTACTTGAAATGGTGAAAAGCGTTCTGGTTCTGCAGACAGAACGAGTACTCATTCGGACCTGAAACGGCCCTCTAGTTCTCAAATGTTGTTACATAGGCTGTATACAAATGAGACAACTTACAAAAATAAATGTCCAGTCAAGGCTTCCATAATCAGGCCTTTGGTTAAACATTAAGGGTCGGCTTTATTTCGGTTTCTGTTTTTATTTCTCCTGTGCTGATAAATTATTACCTACATTGTTGGACTCACCACTGCTACTTTCATGCTTATAAGATCAGTAAGCTACGGTCATTGAAACTCAGATTTTTTAAACTTTTAAACATTTTTTCACTTAATATCTTCCTGTTAACTTATTTCCTCTCCTTGACCTATCCCTTGTAACGTCCATATCTTTCATTTTTCATGTTTGCCGCCCACATAGGTGCAATTTCCCAGGGTCTGGAACACGCCGTTCTGATCTCATCCCGGATTCCGGTGGAATGGGACACTAGCGTTCCACAAAATCCCATCTATCTGTCCTTTTACATCTGTAATGAAACTTTGCAGTTCTGCAATGTGCAACCCAAGTTTGTTGTAGCCAGGTGCCCCCCTCCTCCTCCCCTTCCCTTGTTTGCAGTTGGGGGAACGCGGCAGCTGCATTAAGTGGGCCATTTAAACAACGGGGGCGATTCATCTTACAGAGCCGTCTTTTTGGACTGTCACTTACACAGTATGAACAGTGCCTTCAAAACACCCCGAGGGATTAATCTGTTATTTCACTGCGAGAAAAAGAAAGAAAACAACGCCTAATTGGACTGAGTCATTTCCTGCAGGACCGAAAATGAAAAATATGAAACCTTTCCGACTGCACACTTGAAGTGTGAAGAGCCGATGCTGCTGCAACGTTTGAACCAACATAAAAAGGAGAGAACTTGGATCCATGTTGGAATGTTTTGGTCATGCAGATTGATGAAGAGACCGACAGTGAGAGAGAGAGAGAGAGGTGGAGGAGGAGTGATTGCCTGTCTGTGCCGTGAGGAAAGTAATCTCAGAGCAATCAAGAAGTGGGGGCGGCAGACAGCCCTGCCGTTTGCCTCCTAAAACCACGGGCAGGTAGAGGAAAATCATTAGGAGCTGCGTCTGACCCCATAGGTCACTTTTATTAGACAACTGCCGTGTTTCGCCCTAAACCCACACTGATGGAGACACAGTGGCATCTGTTTGTGACTAACAAACGGACTAACCGTCAACGGGATGGGACGGATAGACGGAGACAGATGTTCAGACAGGCGGACAGATGGACAGCTGTATCGACAGATGGATGGATCGGACAGAAAAGTTAGACGGATACGGTTTGTGGCGAGGCAGATAGACGGATATAAAAACAAGAGAAAGGTAGACGGATAGAAGGATAGATTATTTGCTAGTGACAACAGAAAAAAAATCGACAAAAGATAGAAAGATATAGAAAACTAAGCACCGCTAATTACCTATCCAGCCAGACGGAAAGCTGGGACAAGCTCACAAACCAATAGACGTATAGCTGTGGTATGTAGCTGGCTAGCTATTTGAGGAGAAAATGACAGGCAGGCAGACAGAGGGAGAGACATATAGATGTATTGGTTGTCTCCAGGGAAAAGTAAATGTCTAAAGGGGAGGGGGGGGGGGGTCAAGATGGCACCCGGCAGCGTTTCTCTTTAGTGCTGCCATTTGTGATCGACGGTGAAGCTTTTATCTCTCTGCTGGAGTCGTTCTAAATATGGGTGCTTCTCAGAAAAGAAAGCCTTCGCTCACATTTGGTATTTCTTTGCCCAGTGAGTAGGTTGAGGGTGAGGTTAGGAGGGGGGGGGGGGGGCACAGGTAGCCACAGAGACGGGAAATTGACCACTTGACAGTTTCTGGCCACTAATAGATAGAGTGCGTGTGAGGCTCTGAAAGGAGAGGACAATACAAAGTTGTTGCAGACAGAAGTTTAAACGCTGAAGGCTAATCAGGGTTTAACCCCAGACGTCTGCGCGCTTCCAGAGACCAGGTTACAAGCTTTTCTTTAACTCAGCTGGTCTGGCCATTTTTCTTTCTTCTCTTTTTTTCTCCTCAAGAGCACTTCATATTGCACACTGTGTAATTAGTTCTTTGTAATTAGCGCAATTTATTGCGTTGCGTATCCCTTTGAGACGAAAGTACTTGAACACAGAGGTCTTAATTTGCAATATTACAGACTATGTAATTGGGAATTTGTTTCTTCACATCGCTCGGAGACAAACGTGTGTATGTGTAACCAGAGTGGACAGGAGGGCAGGTTGTGTTCCAAGGATAAGCTGGTGTCAGAGGGGGTGTTGTTATGAAGCCCATCAGTTGCCCTACTGGACGGCGTTTGAACCTGGAAACCTTGTGTGTATTTGGGTGCAGCAAGCAGGTCTCATCAACAAGCTGCACTCTGGAGATAACTTGGGTTACGTGCAATATCACGAGTGCAGAAATAGCCAATATCCCCTACGAGGTACTAATAATAGTAAGAATAATGATGGCCAACCCCATATGGAACAAGATATGGTCCCTTATTGGTCTGAAGTGATAATATTAAACAGCATTATATGGGCAGGTGACAATGCGGCGCCAGCCAATTTCCCTAGATATGAAAAGGAGAAGATTGCAGGAGGGATTACTCGGTGTGTGGAAGAGGGAGGGGGGCGGCAGCGATGTGATCGCCTCGCTTTCTACTGCTGATTGTTTACCTTTGAGCTTGCGCTTGTCCTCCTCCTCCTGTGCTTCTCCCGATTTCTGTTTGCCTTCCTCCTCCTCCTCCTCCTTCTTGCTCTGGTTGTTTTTGAGCGGTTTTGGACTCGGGGCTTTTTCCCAGCTGAGCTCCGTCTCTGAACCGGAGAGGACGTGGAAATGAAGATGATTTTATTGGCAGAGTGATCACACTTTGAGGAGTTTCCCTGGCGAGATATCCATCATCTGACAAGAGGGACAAAATGACCGCTGACATGAAAGTAAAACTCAATATGGCTCAATACGGCTCATTAGCGGCGTTATCAGCGATCAGAAGTCCTTTAATGACGATGTTAGAGGAGCGCAGAGGGGCGGGGGGGGCGGGGGTGTAGAGGAATGTCTAAACACACAACTGTGCATTGCTCAGCAGCACGTTGGCTGTGAAGCAGAGCTGCAGATGAAACACCTGCCAGCCCCTCCCTTCCTCCCTTCCTTCCTTCCAGCTCTACGGATCAGAACAGTCAATAGAATTTGCCGTGAGGTGTAAATTACATTTTGTGTCGCATTGTTTTGTTAATTGGCCGCCCGCATCATGTGCAATTAAACCCAAAGAAAATAATTGGCGACCGCTGCGTCAGCGGTGACACTCCAGCAGCTGACGGTGGCGGCTTGCCAATCGCAGATCTGGCTTCTAAAAAAAAAAAAAAAAACGGCCCCGCGTTACGCTCTCGGACCATTCGGGTCGTTTTCATTCCCACTAATTTTGTGATGGTCGGGCAGAATTTTAAGCCGCAAAAATGTTAATGGTACGTGAGGATTATTCCTTTGCCATTCATAGACTGCGTGTTATTTTAAATTTAAGTGGCGTTCTGACGCCCAAACTGAGGATTCAACAGTACTGACGTATTATCATCAAGGTAAAGCTGACGCACTGGATTTGCTGCCTAAAGCGTGAAGACAATAATTTATAATGTCACTTTCAGTCTTTACACAACTTCTTGCGGGAAAAGTGCCACGTTTTTTTTTCTTATTCTCCCTCTTCAAACTTTCCTAGTTAAATAGAAATCATATCCTCTTACAGTATTTGTCGAGATTGAGGTGTGAAATCTAACAAGACAGTAAGTTGTGAGACTCGGGGACGCAGAGGGCTAATTAGTGATCGTGCCTCTCCGCGGCTCGTTCCTTCAAAAGGCCAGCCTCTAGTCGGCTCCCTGAAAATGTCATCCGAGTCTCTGGGCTCCTGGCCCCGCGGATGTGATCCCCCCCCCCAGTAACAAGCAGAGTAAGGTCACAGAGAGACGGCTCAATTTGTGTTAAGCTGTCCCCGCTGAGGAAGACGTTAACCGAGGGAAATCCTACAAGGCTGTGCCACGACTTTACCACAGTCCCCCCCAGTTCCAATAAGGGACCCATTTATGTCCGTGGGTTCACGTATTGATCCTCGTTTTCCCAGCACAAAGATTCTGCTATGTCTGAGCTGGTGAAGGAGAAAAAAAAAGATTTTTCAGCTGTTTAATAAAAGCAGGCACGAGCTTTTATTGCAGCTCGTGGGCAATCAAACAGCTGCAGCCTGTGGCAAACAAAAAGAGCGTAGAAAAAGGGAGGAAAGTACTTTGTCCTCACATGAAATGGTTATGACTGGCCTTTGTTGTTAAATGCGAAAAAAAGGAATTTGGAGAGCGCCGAGTGCTAGCCGAGCGGTGTGGAGAGCCGGGGGAGAACCAAGCGTCCCTCTTCTTGTGTGCTCTGCGGATTGCTCGTCTGCCGGTGAGAAAAACAGGACGGTAGGATTGAACCGAGCCCTTCCTGCCCTGAAACAAACACCGCTGATTCAACCAGAGTCCGCTCGGCACGGCTGAATTCATTCTGGAGAAAGTTCCGCCGAAGTCACCCGAGATGTCCAACCCTGTCACACGAAAAGGAGCTTATAACGCGTGACAGTTTGATTAAAAAAAAAAAAAAAAAACTGTTCTTGATTACTCCGGGATACGGCACAACAGTGATTCAATTTGTGTCCAATTAATGAGGGCTGTTGTAATTTGGTAGGTTCCCCTCCCTGCCGCAGAGGTAATACAGTGCCACAAAAAATAAAAAAAAACAGCTACCCAACTAAGATTAAACATTTAAATAACCTAAAACCCTTCCACGGGACAGAGATGGTTAAAACCCGGGCTTAGCCACAGTGGGCCTGTAAAGGATTTCTCAACGTGCCAAAGTGGTTTTTGTGTGGCTGAAGTAAGAGCTAAACTCAAAACCTAAAAAGGGTTAGAGGTACACGTTCACTCAAAACACCAGCTGTGAGAGAAGTCAGCGGCCCACATTAGCCTAGCAAGGCTAACGCTAACTGCATTAGAACATGGGGACAGAATAACTGCATCGCAGTGAAGGCCAACTGCAGCTTCTCTCCATTTGGTAAAGGGAAGTTTGCACTAAATGCTGTTCCAGTCGAACCGGTTTGTAGGATTGCTCCCCCTTGTCAATACTGCTTGTTAAGACATCTTTCTGTGGCTTTACTCGACCTGTGCGGATGCAGAGTTTTGCTCGAGGATCATTTAACTTTAAATCTTCTCTAGCATGACATCATTTCCCCGTGTGGGTGCCTGAATCCATCACTGTGGAACTACATGTTAGCCGAATTTGTCACTTGGTGGCCAGCTTCTAACAAGCCATCGGTATTACCAACATTCCATTAAAAATAAACAAGAAAGAATTTCACTCCGGTCCAAGCGCCTCGCGGTGCGACTGACTAATGTCCTTCTGCACACCGACTGCTTCTTTCTTCCTCTACAGCTGCTCGCTTCGTCGCCGTGCTGCTCAGATCTGCGGGCGGCGAGAGGCCGCGCGATGCCTCTCCTCGCTCCTTAACTTTGAAACAGACATCAGTCCCTGTATCATGTGGCTGCGATATCTCATCAACACGTCTTAATGCCGGCGACGCAACCTTCCCTCGCTGCCAACGTGAGAAATGGCTGCTCTTGGAGGGGTAACATTTCTCGTGGCGAGCCGTCGGGCCCCCGGAAGCTGATTGTTTCCCTACACCGCCACGAGCCGAGGGCCGCGGCGCCACGTTGAGAGATGTCTCCGTACATACGGTTGTTACTTACTCGCCGTGGCTTGTCATCTACAAATTTAGCGGATCATTAAATTCCCGTCTAGCAAGCTGACGCGGCCCCCCGCCGCTGTGAATGCAGAGTGGCGCACAAAGAAGAGAGCGTGATAGCCGAGTAGTTATCGAGCATCTGCTGCAGCAGAGAATGAACTGAGAGGGGCGAAAGAAGGGTGGACTCTGTCAGTGTGTTTACATGATGGTATAATTGGAATCTTTGCTTAGTCGGACTATGCTATCTTTTGGGGCAAGTGCTATTATCCCAATATATGTAAGCAGTGAATAAATCGAATCATTGGACGAAAGCATGTCATATCCGATACGATAGGTGGCGCTGTTTTCATTACAACTAGTTGTGATACAGCCATTTCCGCTTGACCTCTTCACCACTACCAACAACAACAACATCAACATTACGCGAAAGATGGCGAACGGAGAGCAAGCTGAAGCTACATCCCTCTACTATTTGTGCATGATGTTAATAGGAGCACAGCGGATGCGAAAGGCGCTATTGGCTGATTTGATAACGGAGAGAAGACGTCGTCGTCTCACGCATGCGCAAAGACGCAAAGTCCAGTTCCTTATGCGATTCACCGTTGCATGCCGCGATAGTCGAACTATCAACTGGATCGGATCGAGTTATCCAGGGGTGTTAGTCGGATCGTAGTCGGACCGAACATAGTCGGACAAAGGTGTTTACATGAAACAAATAATTCGAATTCAGTCCGACTAAGCCAGTTATTCGAATCCATGTAACCACGCTGAGTGTGTTGAGCGCGTGACCCCCCACTCAGTACAGACCTTGGACATTTTAACAACGGGCACACAGTTCGCACAGTAGCATCTCGTAGAACTGTACAAAAAACAATAACGTGGTGGCGTGTTATGAGTGTATGCACGGTTCGCAGCGGATTTATGGAGCCAACAGACAGCGTCAAACAAAGCCCCCGTCTCCCCTCGACATGCGCCGTCCCTGCCGGTCGTGTCTTTTTTTTGTCTGATGAATCATCTTGGCCAACTGTTGGTGTTTTTTTTGTTATTTGTTACTCACATACACACTTGATTTTCAGAGCGTTGCCACACCACCGTAAAAAGAAAAGACATTTGCAGTGAAAAGCCTGAATATAATTTTAGATAGAATAGCAATAGAATTTTTTTTCCTCTTACAGAAATGTATAAACGACGTCCCCCCCACCCCATCCCCCCCGCACCCTCCCCAACCCTTTGCAAGATACAATTATAGGCTGTCGGATATCAGCTGGAGCCAGGTCAACTTTTCCCCAACTTTGTGCGAAGACATTTGCAGCGATGGCAGGGATCGGTTTCTCTCTCTCCCTCCCTCCCTCCCTACTTCAGCTTGACAGGTGAGAATTATACTGAGTCCTTGTCATTGCAAGAGAGAGAGAAAGAGAAAGAGGGAATATTCTCCAGGGAGAGCTATTTCAGACTCTGGCAAGCCTGCCTCCGTCTTCCGCTATCACGTGTCTCCATCTGGTGAAATCTGTAATGCTGTTCAAAAGTATTATGTCAACAGACTGCTGAGATTGATATTGACAGGAAGGGAAATAAAGAGCTGACTGGATTTCGCCGTCAGATGCAAAGATGATGGAAATGTCGTTGTGTTTTTTTCCTTCTTTTTCTCCTAATGGAATCCAGTTTGAAATGAGGTTTGTTAATAATTGGGTGGTGGTCCTACCTGCGTGAACCCCGGAGGGAGAGCGCGGGAACTCGCACATCTCGCAGTACGGCAGCAGGCCGCTGTTGGAGTAGGTGCAGGCCGTGCAGCCCCATTTCTCCAAGGCGGAGCGGGGCTCCGACAGCCTGCGCGGGGCCATGGAGGGGACCGGGGGGGCGACGCATGCCGCTGCCGTCCTGCGCCTCCCACGGCCCGGCTGCGGCGTCCGGAGCCTCTTTAGCCGTGGGGAGAAGTCCTGGTCTGAGAGGTCGGCCTGGGAGCAGGACGCCTCTCCTCTGTCCACCCGCTTTCCAGAGCTGCTGCCGCTCTCTGAGGAGACGGAGGGAGACGGCTCCTCGTCGTCCCTTCGCTTCCTCTTCTTCTCCGTTCCGCTGCCCGGGGACAAGAAGGAGCGAATGTCGTGCTGCTTGTCTTTCTCAAACTGAGAGAGGTCAGAAAAAAAGACACAAATCTCACTTTTCACTAAAAAATGAATTTGTCGCGAAAACGAAATATTTTCTTGTTTTGATGAAAAATGTCGTGAGGCAAAGTTCTGTCTTCTGTGACTCACAACATAACGATGATAAAACACCTGATGACAAATATGGATCCCATGTATTGCACAACTGAAATCTACGCGCATGAGAAAAAACACTTGAACACAGACACAGTCTGCTAAATTTAACACAAATAGTGTTAAATATAATATGTGTTGATTGCACTTTCCTTGAGTGTTTAAAGTGCTTTAGCGATTATGTTTTTCTTTACGGCACGCTACTCCATCCGCTGAAAACAAAATATCTCTAAATAAAAACTCACCACAGACTTAATAAAATAACACAACGCGGACTCACGTGAGTGAAGAACAAGTCGCCCTTGGCCGTCCCCGCGGCGCCCTCCAGCGGCAGCACCATCTCGCTCGGCGTCCACGCGTCGGCGAAGTTGAGGAACTCCCACTTGTCCTTGTCGCCCTCGTCCGCCTTCAGGTACTCCTTCCTGCCGTTAAGGGTGCTGCCGGTCACCGTTTCCTGCGGGACACGAGGGGACGCTCAGCACTTCAGATTTGTTTTCCACCGCTCGGCCCTTTCAAAAAGGATTTCTCCTCCACTAATTGCGCGTTCTGCGATGGTCAGCGCGTTTTAATGTGGGGGTGGTTAGATCGTATTTGGAGAAACAGACAAAGGAAAACCATCACACGAGTACAAGTACTGCTGGGGATGGATTTGAGGCAACAAAATATACAATATCAATTCCCCCCCCCCCCATCAGCACCTTCCTGTTGAGCATGGACCACATGACGGTGTCGAAGGTGCCCTTGGCGATGAGGTAGTGCACGTTGACCGAGGCGGTCTGTCCGATGCGGTGAGCTCGATCCTCCGCCTGCTTCATGTGGCCGGGGTTCCAGTAAAGCTCGGCGAACACCACGTGACTCGCCGCGGTGAAGGTCAAACCCTGTAAAGGAAGGACACACGCGCGCACACACACACACAAACTAATAACAGTGCACTTCGAACAAATTATAGCTCATTCACCTCAGATGGAGCAGTCCAGCCCACGTCTAATGAAATGTGATTTGGCAAAATCCTTTTTTTTGTTTTTAATAACTAGAATATTAGCAGCTAATTGCCGTACGAGAGGGTTTCGAGCACCTACTTCCTTTGATTGGAACGCGCAACATGTGCACACATCCAGTATAATTAATGTCAAGTTTATTATAATAGGCAGAAATATTTTCAGCATTTATTTCTACTTGCACAAACCTTGATTAGGATTCACAACCACCAAGAGCCGTCATCATTATTACCAACATGCCCCTAGAAGACTATTTATTGTACCAAGTGGAAAGCACTAGTTCATCCGAGTGCTCATAAGTGTTTTTGAATATTCAAATTCATCTCTTTAAAAGTCATTTGTGACTACTTGAGAATCAGATAAAAAGCACAGGATGTTGAGGGTGTGTGTGTACCTGACCGGCTGCCTGGATGCTGAGGATGGCCACCCTCACCTCCGGGTCACTCTGGAACTTGTGGACCAGTTGGATTCGCTCGGAGGACGGGACGCTGCCGTCGATCCGGATGTAACTGGCCTGCAGCGACACAACATTTGCTTCTTGGGAGAGATTTGTGATGTGGCTCCTTTAAACATAATCTAGACCTTTTCTAGGCCAGACTGACCAATTTAAATAGGTTCATCATTGACCAAGAACAGGCAGCAACCTCACGGGTGAAGCCAATACACAAGTGTGTTAGAACTTGTGTTAAAATATGAAAAAACGATAGAAGACCATAGAAGCATGAAGTACTTGGGGGAGGAGCTACCTCCTGATGGAGAGACGAGCTTCTAACAAAGCCGGAACATTTGAAAGCCCGGCAGCTTTTTTTCCCATTAACCTCCATTGTATACGGGAGATATTTCAATGAAAGATGCGGAAAAAACAAGAACAGAAGAGCGGCATGGAATAAAAACAAGTTTAAAATAGCTGTTTGGAAACAAATGAGAGCCACGGTTGGTTGAACTTGACATTCGCAGAGCCGCTAATGCGCTCCTTTGTTCTCGGGTCCGCTGCGCGGCGGCGAGTGTGCGACCAGCCGACGGGACATGAAGATGAGAAGGTACACAGAGGTCTCGTGTGAGTTTCGTGAAAAGCGCTCCAGCAGGTTAAAACAAGGCCATCGAGGGAGAGAGAAAAAAAAAAAGGTAACACTCTGAAGTCAAACCTGCTCTTTCATTACACTCAACATATTCACAACTTCATCAAAAACACCCCCCGCCCCCTCTCCACCCCCCACGCAGTTGGCAACAGGCGAGAAGAACGTCACGTTCCCCCTTTTAGCCGCGTCCCCGTTAATTGGCGAGTGCGAGTGCGCCGGAGAGGGAGCGCCGCGTGCGGAATGTGCGATCACACGTAGAAACCGCTGTTCGGCGGTGACGCCTCACCGACCCCCCCCCCCACCCCCGTGACACAGGGGATCAGTGCTGGAAGTTTACTTTCTAAAGAAAAAGCAGGCTTCTTTTCAAGAGCGAGGAAAATAAATAAAATTAAGATGATTTGTGATTGATTTGCTCCAGTTGTTAAACACAATACAGAGTGTGCCTCTATATAGAACTCGATATCTACATTGCACTGTATAATTGAAAGTAGCATATTGGTTGTGTTGCACGCAAACTACTAGTGACTGCCAACACCTGCTGCTCCTTGCTGCTAACGCAGTATGTTGTGTGTGTGTGTGTGTGTGCGTTCATGTAGTCGCTTCCCAACACCTCCAGGTGCCTGCGGAGCGCCCGCGGTTACCTTGGCCTCGATGGCGGCCTCGGTGCAGGCCTGCAGCATGGTGAGGTGGTGGGCGAACACCAGGAACTTCAGCTGCTCTGCCTCCAGCATCATCTTAATGTAGTCCTTCACAGCTCCCGCCTGACCCCCCCGACCCCACACACACACACACACACACACACACACACACACACACACACACACACACACACACACACACACACACACACACACACACACACACACACACACACACACACAAGAAAGAGACACACATGAAAGAGAGCTGCTGAATCCATCACTTCGCTGGCCGGCCGCACGCACTGAGCAATCGGCTGGCTGAGAGAAGAGGTCGATTAATCACCGCAGCCTTCTTCTCTGCGTGATCGATTCTCTATCGAATGCCGCGGATCCGAACTCTAAAAGCAAGTTTGCGGAGGGGCAAGGGGCCGGAGTTCGGAGGGGCGGGGGCTGTAATTGTCAGCTCAGGTAGTGTGGGCAAATCAATAACTCTGATATGATTTGTGCGTGCGCTTCGTCGCCAGACACAATAAAAAGTCACCTTTTGTTTCGCGGGGAACGGGAGAAATGGAACAACTTAATATAGACTTCTTTTTTTTCAAATGTCTTTATATTTGATTTATTGTCAGTTCGTCAGAGAATATTCCGGCCTTTATCATGCCTCGCAAGCGCCCCTTAAAAAGTACACTTTACAGTAGCGTTTCATAGTTCACTGTTATGATTAATGCCTGGTATTTCTCTGGATTGATTAATGCTTTAAAAAAAAAAAAAAAAAAAACACCACCCGGCTAATTCAACCGGATTTCGCAACCCTGATTGACAGCGCGAAGCTAACGGTCTAAAAAAAGGTGGCGGTGAGTTAACTATGCCCCGCGGGTCTCCGTACCCATTAGCGATCGCGCCATGGCGGCCTGTCTTCGCCACTTCCTGCTGGGTGTGCTGAGCGAGCGTGTCATCAGGCGGCCGGGGCCTCGGCTCGTTTCCCAGGGCCCAAAATAGCCCTATTGTGGGAGAAACGCGGAGTTCTGTTTCACGTCAAGCGGTGTTTTTTTTCTTTGTTTGAAAAATAGGGATTGTTTTGGGGGGGGGGGGGGGACTGCCTTCGTGTTGTGAATCTCTCAAAATTCCTGCAACCTGACAACCTCAGCTGCCATCACACCTGCTGTGGTGGGTGAACCTCCGCTTTGCCCTGCAGGTAATTAGCCGACGCGCCCAATAATGAATCTCCTCGCCGGGCATGCCGACCCCGTTTTGATCGGGGTGGGGGGGGCTCATTACTGACGGTTCGGCTTCGCCGGGCTTCCTTCCGCCGAGTTTAATTAGTGCACAAAGTTCTCGGGCTTTCTGAAGCGGCCCCGTTAGATCGCTTTAAAGTCCGGCATCAGAGCTGTCCTCTCTCTGGGTAATTGGGAGCAGATGCTTGGCGGGTTAAGCAATAAAAATACCCCAAAGGCGTTTTGGCGGTGCCGTCGCCGGGCGGACTGGCAGGCCGGCGGCATGCAGGGACCATGGTGCCCGTCAAGACTGACATAGATGTGCGAGCATTTCCCAGTCCTTCTTATCGTACTGGAGAAAATAAAGGGGGGGGAAAAAGAAGAACGAAACAAAGAATGTTTGTTTTCTCAAGTAGAAAGGGTGTCCGGCTCTATAAAAAAAAAGGAAAAGAAAACAATAGACGAGGAAATGAGACTGGGTCGGGAGTATTGGCTTTGAGGTGGGCGGGTTGTGGTGTGGGAGGGGGCTTTGTAATGAAAGGAGGTCCAGTGTTAGGCTAAACCGAGCAGAAATCCAATCAGCAAACAATGGCGAGCGCGGAAAAAGATCCAAGTTGGGAAGCAGGCTGAGCGAGCGGCGCGTCGATGATTGCGTTCGGGTGTTATCTCCGGTCTTCCTTGACCTCTGAAATGGGGAAGGAGGGGGTGGAGGGTCTCAGGCTAATTGAGAGAAACCTCGGCTCTTGTACATGGCAGACGATTTGGCGAGGGGGTTGCCCTGTTTGTTGGGAATGTTTTTTCCACAGCCAAGTGCCAGAGGAGCGGAAACGGATCACTGTCGGTACGAAATGTAAATGCTTGTTAAGATCATCGCCACCGGTTGTTCTGACCCCCGACCCTCCTCACACCGTGTGCATCGAGCCACCTTTCCCACATCGCCTATTTCTCGCTCATTAAAAATGAGCCGTCACTTCAAACTGGAAGGCCGGCCGAGTTACCATGGCAACAGCATCACAGAGATGCTATTTTCAGTGCGGCGTGTAACTTTGAGGTAAAGTGTAATCATGCCAGGCTGGACGCAACTAAATAATACCTCAGCTATAACTCCCTACTTTGTCCAAGTGCTTTCACCAGCGACGATTAGGCTGTTACCATGGCGATGCTTTCCCATGAGATCTCGCCAAGCAGTTGGCCAAGCGCTCTGAACATGATGCCGCGATATCAATTCAACACCTCCTGAAACATCAAAACGGACTGAAAAAAAAAAACGTGTTGATTTTGAGACTATTTAACCGGTTGCAGGTGTAGCCAGATGTTTTAATTGTTGGGAGCCTTTGGGACACACTTCCATCCGTGAGGCAACGTTGCACCATGGATGTGATGGCATCTGTTTTTTAAAACACTATTAAAAGGAGGTTGTTACATATGTAACATCATATTTTTAATATAATCGGCACAGAGTCATGCGAGTGGCATCAAGCCTCTTATTAAGCTCTGACAAATACGCAGTTTCTTAACCCCTCACACAGCGAAGGTGATTGTAGGATTCAAAGGAATAGCGTTTAATGACAAAGGCCGAGGTTCAAACAAGATCTACACAGGCACCATCTGGTCCCCAATTACCTTGGCGATCGCTGTTTGCTTGTACATCTGTGTGACGAGGCCCATGACCTGAGTGAAGGGGTTGTCCGTGGCGACGTCCCCCGACCCCACTCCCCTCATCAGTTTCTCCCACTCGGCGAAGCTGGCCGAGGCCTCCTGCAAGAGAGAGAGAGAGAGAGAGAGAGAGGACTTGGTGAGGCCCCGTCCTTCATTTCTTCATTCACACATATTTTCCGTCTCGCTTGTTCTCCACTGCGTTTTTCTTTTTTTCTTTGTGATATAAAGGGCAAAACAATTAATGGTGCTGCCGGGTGTCCTACTTTCCCTGGAAGAGAATGAAACAGGGAGAGAAAATAGAGAGGGATGGAGAATTCCCAAGGATGCCACCCTCCCTCCTCCTGCCTGGGCTGCTGAGCTAGGTGGGTCATGAGTATCTCCCAATTATAGCCGGCGTGTGACAAGCCGGGGTCGAAGATGGAGAAGCAGCCGGGCCGGGACGATAAATCAAGCAACGGCCTGCGCGCTCATTCTCTCTCTCTCAAGGTGATTGGCGAAGGAGTATTTAAGGGTGAGTTTGGGGAGCGCAGCGGGGAGAAAAGAGAGGCACATTTGTTAGTGTAGCCGCACGTGTATCCCCAAAAACGCACACCAGAGCACTGGAACGCAATGTATTATGTCGGAATGTGAGGAGAAAAGATTGCCACTTTATTGTCTCACTTCAGAGCACTTGGTGATTAAAGGTTATTTTGAGCCTTTTGTTCACAACTGTCGTGAATTTCAGTTTGAAATGTGTTGAGAGGAGGAGGAGGGAGGGGGGGTTTCAACAGATTTCCCGGTGACGAACGTTTGGAGCGCTGCATATCAAATGAAGCAGAAACTGCGAAGCCATATGGTGAGTTGAGGAGGGGGGTTGTCCACGCGTGATTGAGCACATATGTACAGGGAGAGTGGGTGAGGAGTGTGAGCGGGCGGGGCAGGGGGGGGTGCTTCACATAATTAGGATTTCAACGGATTTGAACCCTCGTCAAATCAAGGACGGGCGAGTTGGGGGGGGGTAGCAGTATTGTATTGCGGGAATTTCCCTTAATATCCCCCTCAGATTCACTCTGCAGCGTTGACGTGGCTTGGGCTGTTGCCCAATGTTTATTTCTAATTAAAACATTTCACATTCAAGGATTGGGGGGGAAGGGACGGCGGGGGGAGAAAAAAAAAAAAACACTGTTGATGATATTCACTAGGCCAACACTGACAAAAAGGCCAGAGATGAAAACGTAAAGGGCAGGAGGGGCATAAAAAGTGTCTGCTGTGGAAGATAAAAGCCGTCATTAGGGAGTAAAATGAGACGAGAGGCGAGCGGCGCTGCTGAACACTAGATATCCACACTGGGCAAAGCGGTGATTAAAAACAGTTTTGTTGGAGGGGGAAAAGACACCCGGGCGGCCTTTTCAGGTTTCGTATTGCTCAGGTTTCCCCTTTCTGATGGGGAGGCACAATGGCCGTCGCTTTGGGTTCACACTTTCGCCTCCCTTAACATAACGTCCAGAGAGCAAAGAGAGCGACCAGGAGACGACGACGTGAACTTTTTCAAACGCTCACCACTATGCAGCAACACTTGGCGTACACGTGAAAGCGTCCTTTAACAGTTGAGGATCGGTCTGACTGTTGAGCTACTTCCTTATCACGCTGACGTGATTAGAGGACTGAAGAGCTCCTCCAGTGTCCCCCACACTCATTCTGGACCCCCTGTTGTAGTGGTGACAGTGGTGACCCAGTGCAGAGAGTGGAAGCCGGGTGCACAGGTCACATTAGCAATCACGTGTGCTAATATACAGCGCGGCGTTGGAGGCCACAACCATAACGTTGTGAGGGTGGGGGGGGCACCTACACACCAAACATGACATCCACTCGTGACATTGAAAAGGGAAGTTATTTAACCTCAAAGCAGATATGGTCCGGAAAGAAACATCAGAAAATAGTCATTAAATTTCCATAACTTCCAGTTACCGCTTTAAATTGCGTGCTTTGCAAACTGGTAATCAAAAATCTGAACTAAATAAATACAATGGGTTAGGGCAGTGGTCCCCAACCTTTTTTACCTCACGGGCCGGTTTCATGTCAGACAATATTTCGCGGACCGGTCGAGAAGGTCTGACGGGGGGGTGGGGCGGGGGGGTGTAGTAGTCGTTGCGGGCAGAACGACCGACAGGGGGGGAGGTAGTAGTCGCGCACTCTGTGTTCGCTGGTCGGCGAAACTGCCGTGCACGGTAAAAGGACAAGAAAAACGCCTGGTGACGCGTGGAGAATATGTAAGAGGGACGAGCGCACATAATTAGGAGAAAATCCGGTCAATTTTCAAAATAAAACATTTTTCAGAAAAAAAAAATATATAAGCTTTCTGTGGTGCGGCCCGGTACCAAACGGCCCCGCGGCCCGGTGGTTGGGGACCACTGGGTTAGGGTTAATTTATAAACATCTACGCGGACCTTTAGGTGATGTAAAACCGCCAAAATGTTTGGTGTATACATTTGTATGTGTTTATATGTATATATTTATATTACAAATAATACATTTTTGTTAACAAATCTCTGCAGACATCACATTCGGTCTGATGGACCTCGATCAGAGCAGAGATAAAATGGTGAAAATTAACATAACATTTGCAAAATTCTAAGAATGGAAAAGTGACATGTTCGCTATATCAGTTGAGGAGAAAATCAGCATAAAAAAAAAAGAAAAGATGATTAGCAGGTGAATATTGTCTGTATTACGTATCTATACATCATCTTTAATCACCCCCCGATGTGTTGGGAAATACACAAACCTGGAGATAACAGAATGCAATTTTACCTAACAGCGTGAATCTGCCTCATCTCCATTAATCGAGACGTGGCATGCGACTGGATATTTGGACACAACGCCTTTATTCAATTGGGCATGTACGATTAATCATTAAGTCCATCAACAGAAAAAAAATATTTGGGAACTATTTTTGATGGTTAATAAATGTTTTTTCTCAAGCTGGACATTTGATAATGTCACCTTGGGCTCTGGGAATTTACGAGCGGCACCCAATTATTATCTGACATTCAAACAAAACGATCAACTAATGATTATTCTGTCGTGAAAAACAATTGCTAGCTGCAGCCCCGGAACACAGCTTCAGATGTCAAAAGGCCAGGCGTTGTCGTCTGACGTGTACCTTGGCGGCCTCCTTGGGCAGGTCAAAGGGGATGCGCTGGCGGACTTTGGGGGGCAGCTGCTTAAGCACGTCGGACTTGAGACGACGTATCATGATCTCGCTCAGCCGGCGGTGCAGCTCCTCCAGGTTGGATGCCCCGCGACAGTCCCACTGCCTGCGAGACCCAAAGTACCTGTGAGAGAGGAAAAAAACAGAGGGGGAAATGTGAGTAGCCATGCAATTCTTTTTTACATTTTTTTTTTTTTAATATATGGAAAATCCAGAGAAACTTCCTAAGAAGACGTAATTATTTACGGCGATGCCCTGAAGGCGTAGTTGAACACATTTAAAACATTCCCATCTGGGAGCTGCTCAGCACTGCGGCAGCTTTCCATCGTGTACCGCTGAGGAGCTCTGCTGGAGCAGTCGGTGTGCGAGTGTGGGCCACTTTGAGGAACAGCAAACTATTTTGTCTAATAGCCAAGAGAGCAGGTTTAACCAAAAACTCGCACGGCAACTTCCACAATGTAACTGCCAAGCAGATTTTTAGAATAGAACTGGCCCTCCGCACAAAGGCTCGTCATCTGCCACAATGGCTGGAAGTGTGGGCAAACTTAACAAGCCGATGCCAAAACACGCCGCTTCACGCTTTCGGTTTCCTGACATGCAGTTGCTGAGAAAGGAGGAAGGGCAATAATGTTTCTGCTTCTGGTTCGCATAGGGGGACTTGAACCGGCGACTCGACAGCCGCGCGGCTTCTCTTCTCCCTCCCACAATAGGGGGGGCAATAGGGAGGCTCCGCTCATGTGACACTACCTTGAGCCTTTGTGTGGACGTGCCACACCGAGCGCTATTGCATACAATGTGTTATCATTAACGCCGAAGGGCCCATCCAAAGCGCAGCGGCCCGACTTTGACGGACATCCAAGACAATGCACTTGATGTGTGTGTTCACACGCGTAATTGATCGTCAATGGTATCTGGCAGCCGGTTGGCATTTAACGCTTGGCTCCGGTCGAGGTCTGGCTCTGACAACAAAACCACCACAACTCAGCGGCATCGGCACTCGGGACTCAGGCACAGCTCCCCTCATCCCAGCAGACACTTGAAAAGAGTGGGAACTTAATGGTGGGTGAGATCCATTGGAAAGCCTGGTTATATAACTGAGCAAATAACTAAAGAGTGTATAAATAAGCACGGATTCAAATTAGGTTTGATTTGCCAATTTAAGACGTTAGTTTATCCACGTCTTTTAGAGAGAGTTGGACACAATAATTGATCCAACTAAATTTGAAGCTAGGACTACATAGCTTATTCAAGCCTTAACTTGTAATTAGGGCTGGGCCGTATGGCCAAAAATCCCTATCACCGTATTTAGTAAGGTTCTGACAGTACCCCAGTATGTGACGGTATTGCTTTTTTAAGTAAACACATTAATTCATTGACCCCGAAAAGGACCGCCGGCTCCCGGCTGTTCACCGCTGCTGGCCAACTTGCTCGCAACTGGCCGGCTAGTTAGCTTGTTAGCTAGTTAGCTTGTTGTGGCTGCCAGTGTTGCCGCCAGAGGTTCGACAGACTTAATCTTTTTCTGATCTAACGTAACAAAAACCAAAAACCTTCCAAACAGACACAGCTCCTCTCTCACATGTGGAGTTGGTGCATCTATGGTCTCGTTGTCCTCTATCGCTCTTTTCCGTGTGTTCATGTAGCAGTTACTTCTTGTTGTGAGCTGTACCCAGCATGCAGTTCAGCGGGGTAATTTTTTATAAATGTACAATTATTAGTGTTACAAATTGTTTGTGTCACAAGCTGTTGTGGTGTTTTACCCTGTTAAAGAGGGTTTGTTGTGTTATTCATGGTCGTTAAATCACTCACCTAAGACAAGTAGCTCCCACCGCTGGACGCTCCTCGATGACGTGTAAAAATAAATTCTGGCGCCCGCCAAAGAGCAAAGTCAATTGTTATGGCGTTACGAACACCAGTACGAACAATATGTGAGAAATTCATACCGTACGGAAATCTGAGACCGGTATAACGGCCAGCCCTACCTGTAATAACTAATTTGATACATGGGACATGTATTGTAGCATTAAGCTACGCTACATATAAGTGGTTTATATGAAGTTTATATGAAGCGCATGTTGGCTTGGGTGTGTGCGTGTGTTGAAGACTCACCTGTATTGGCGTGCAGTATTTCTTGGCGTAGTCTGTCCAGGTTCGAGCTTTTTGGGGTAGAGGGCATCAATCTGCATGAAAAGCTGTGAAATACAGCGACAGGAAAAGGCACTTAATAGCTGGTTTGTCCAAAGCCACCAGAGGGTGTGTGTGTGTGTGTGTGTGTGTGAGAGTGAGTGAGTGAGTGAAAGGGGAAAAGAGATAGATACCAGGGGCCTCATTTATAAAACCTTGCGTAGGATTTGCGCCAGACGTGGCGTACGGATGAAACGTAGGACGTGCGTACGCACAGAAATATTCAGACTTATAAAACTGTGCGCACGCACGTCCTACGCAGTTTACCCTTAAATCACAACCACTTCTAAATGCACCGCAGCTTTTGCGGCTTCATGTCACGCCCATAGTTGCACATATATAGTCTGTGGAACGCCCACAAATTAATATTCATCGATTGCGAAATCATGACAAACGCTGAGAGGAAAACGAAGAAACGTAACTTCGAAGTCGAAATTATAAATGAGGTCCCAGGAGAATGTGTGAGCGTCTTACTGAGTCCCATTTTTTAATTAACCTAATTTTGATTGCAAGATCCATTCTAATCCCTCATATATTTTACTCCCAATATTGCTTACTTCCTTTGCTTTTGAAATGCCGAATGATTTGTCATCTTACCTTGAATTTACTGAAATTATACCAACGTTACATGAATTCAGAAACAACACATTCATCCAACAGAAGTTGAAACAGTCCGCTACATTTGGAGTAGCTTGCCCTGCCTTATTTTAGCTTATGTTAGCAACAACACACAGAACGACCAGATCTATTTTGCGGCTGCAGTGTTTCTTGGTCTGGATAAACAGAAGTTTATGGTGTCTAATGTTAGCTGTAGATAATTATGTCAGTTACACAGCAACATTTAACTTTTTCAATCTTCTCCACTAAAGATATTGATACTGCTGCATGTTTTACCAAACGCCCCTTTCCATTAAGAAGCATATAACGTTAATGTTGTAGCTCATGTTAGCAAACTGTAGCTAAATGCTGCTAACTCACAAACGTAATGCTGAGTCATTTAGAGTCATAAACACAGAGTCAGTTTGTGACTCTCAATTATTAATAACGTTTCATGTCACAAACAAATATTTCAATGAGTATATAAAAACAAGGTTGAACAAGATTAAACACACTGTACCTCAACAGGCGACATGCTTTCTTCTGTAGCGTCAGTTGCCCCTGTAGCCAGTGTTGCTAACATGCTAACCCACCAATATACACTTTCAAAATAAAATACTTTGGAAAAACTGTAACTGACATAGCCGCAGTTGAATTATAGTATTTTTTTTCTTCAGTCTTTGTGAAAAGTAAAGCTAAGTAGGCAGCTGCTGGCAGTAACTAAGTATTTAGCGCTAGCTTCCAAGCGGTATCAATCTCCTCACTGAGTAGGAAATTGATTAATCCTGTGTGTCCCCAAATAAAGAATGAATGATGAATGACAAACTCTGATTAATCAAAAAATATATATTTAACTTTTATGCAAATATCAGATTTAGCAGTGTGACACTAAAATGCCACACAATTTTCACGGTCATAACTTCACACGTTTCACTTTCTGAAAGTTTCCCACAATCACTCAAAGTACCAAAAGCTATGTTCAGGGGATTATTGGCAGACGTCGCCTGTGCTCACCATTAGTCTACCGTTATTTGGTGTGTCTTGTGCGCAACTTATTCAAAGTCATGCTGTCCTTCGCCTAGTTTACCAGCCCTGCCTGTGCGATGGTTATTTGTGTCAGCGCCCGACCAACCAGGTCAAACTGCCTGGTTGGTCGGATAAGATAAGGCGAAACCAAAAAAATGAAACCGATTTGAAATGGAAAGTAAATAAGTAAAAGTAAAAATATATATTTTTTTTTAAAAGAAGATCTTTGCATCGTTAAAAAAAAAAGCTCTCCCGTGTGGCATCGCTGTCAAATTTGCAGAATCGGCAGAGATTTCTGAAGGACTGACATCATCGGCGAGGCCATTGGAACGAGCAGCTCGAGAGCGCCATTGTAAACTCAGGGCTTGTTCGACGGGAACTTTGCATCCCCGCCCTCACACTGTTGATATAATAGGTGGGTGGAATGAGGGCACATCGTGAACGGTGCAGCATGCCCCGAGCTGTGTGCTAACTCAATGTCAGAGCCACAGTGAGTAATGATGGCAGCGGGGAGACTGGCACACAGGCAGGGACGGGGCTTATCAGGTTCATGCTGCCGATGATAAAATGTTATATTGGGTTTCAGATTCTAGTGGCAGGGAGAGGGAAGAGAGATTATATCTAAAAAAAAAAAAATAAAAAAAAAGAACCTCAACACTGCGGGGCAAGGCAATGGCAAAGACACACACACACACACACACACACACACACACACACACACACACACACACACACACACACACACACACACACACACACACACACACACACACAGAGTATATAACACGTGTTATCACACTCTGTCTCCGTGACACACCTTCTCCAGATTTGTTACAGGCACCAACTTTGCTCCGTTTTGGAATTAATTAGCTGCCTGCGATCTCAGTTAATTATCATGATCGAGTCGAGGCAATAATTAAGTTTTCCTCGCAGCGAAGTGGCAGTTTGATGACAGAGGAGTCTGAGTTCCGCCTCACGTACGATACTTAAAAGTAGTCAACACAGAACCTATGATGTCAGACTTGTAATGTCGTTGGTTATCAGCGCCATTACTGCGTTAGCAAACCGGTTTTTGGCTGCATACAACAGGGACAGAATTAGTTTTATTTAGATGTATACAAATTGTATTGAATCACATATGTGTCATGGTCTCACACTAGACCATGACACAAGATTCTGGCTCTAAATGTACCAAAGTGTGATATAAAAAAATGATATTATACTAATAGAATATCTCTGATCTCTGTAAAGAAAATGTATTTTTACTATACATGTTCATATTATGCTGGTTGAATAAACTACATCATTTGTAAACGGAGTCAGTAAATTGACTTCTTACGCCACATTATTAACTACGGCCAACATAAGCAGATAACAAACAACATCACAGAAGCCCAAATTAACGCTGCTCCCGGGGGAGGCCTGGATGGGAAGGTAGAGACCGCGCATAGAGGCCTCAACATAGAGCTGAAGCAGTTCTCCATCATTAGGGCCCAGTGGACATACGCTACGTCTTATTGATACAGTATTGTCGTCGCACGTCGAGGCCCCGAAAGGATTTTCCTACACGCCATACTGCGCGGCTGCAGTGATGGAATACGGCTGCAATCCACCGCTTCGAAGCGCCATATATAAAAATGATATAATAAATCATTATGGATATGGGGAACGACTTCGGCGCTCTCAAAACACCGTTGTCCTGTGAGCAGCCCTTCTTATTGTCTCAAAATTCAATAGTCCCCCCTCCCTCCCCATGCGCCTCATTTTATTACATGTCTCATTTATTGCCGAGCGGTGTCTGTTCATATCGGCCTTTGCAAATGAAGTTTTTGCGCAACAAAAGGTTATTGAAATAAGACCACGGGATCCTGGAGGATAAGTGATGCCGGGGAGAGTTAATTGGCTTTTTGAGTGCTGGATCAGAGCGCAACGTGCAAGTTGCCATGGCGATCTACCTTCGCTGCGAGAAGGCGCTTTGTGAGAAGCCGCAGAAGAGCCGCGAGTCACTAATGTTTCTTCATTAGTCTGGGTTAAGAATCAAGACTTTTGAAAATGCAAGGAGAAAAAAGAAATGGAAGCTCACTCCCATAATAGGCAATTCCCCAAATTCCCTTTTATCAGATTGCTTTACCTCTTCGGGCCGACCCAGGGCCGGGGTCCCGGTGAGCAGGATGGCCCGCTTGGCGCCCTGAATCAGGGGCGCCAGAATCTTTGTCCGCGCCGCGTTCCTGGACTTGAGGTAGTGCGACTCGTCCACCACGACCACGGCGAAGCGCTGCCGACTCAGAGCGTCCACCAGGGGGCGCGCGTCCGTGGTGAGCAGGCCGTAGCCGAGCACCGTCACCTTACTGCTGGAGATGCCCCTGTAGAGAGAGACACACACACACACACACACACACACACACACACACACACACACACACACACACAGTTCAAAACTCACTGTAAGTAATCCGTCTTGAAATACGTAATTGTTGATGTTTACAAAATGCTCTGTTTTAGCAAACACTATTTAAAGAAGGGAAAACAGCGCATCAATTTGGGCCTATTTTCAGCCGTGGATTTATACACATTTGATGAGAAGAGCACTTTTAAAAAAAGGCAGAAATCCAGGCTTTCCAGATGAGGTCAAAAGGACAGCGGCTCCCCACCCGCGTTCTAATGCACGGAAAAAACTTCATCCGCGGAGATCAGTGAGTGTTTTTAATTCGGTTTTAAAAGACAACAAAAGGAGGCCTTGCGCGCCAGAGAGAAGAAGGAGACGCCGGGCTCTGACACAATGAGTAGTTACGGGAAGATGGGACGGCCAAATCCTTTCTTGCACTGCAGTCTTCTTAAACGCTGACAAAAGGGGTGTCAACGGGGAGCGCTAAATACAAACTCAACATCTGCTTTACTGCGTAGCCCTCAAAGGTGAAGCAAACCCTATTCAAAAATGGTGTGTGTGTGTGCACTCGATATATGTCACACACACACACACACACACACACACACACACACACACACACACACACACACACACACACACACACACACACACACACGCTTCCATCCTGGGCTGTATTGCACTTTTGTTTAAATATTTCTTCGAGTTCACGCCCTCCCCCAACGAACACAAAAGCAGATAAACAAACAAACGGTGCAAGGTGGAATTCGGCTTCACAGGAACTCGGATGAGAATCTCAGAGAACTCTAAAACTCCCCAGCATCTGTCAGCTTCTAATTCTTTGTCTCCACCACACACACACACAATTCCAACGATGAAATACACCTAAAGGTGCCATTCAAGTTCTACTGAAGAACGAGTGAGTCAAAACACCGAGAGGAGATGCTGCATAATTCTTTCCCTCTTTCCTCGCCGTACAGTCATTAACACATCCCGGTTCAAGGACGCGTTTTTCCCCCCCAGAAGGCTTTCACAACTTCTTTTTGCACCTCGTGAGTGATGAGAGATTTGTTTTCTTCCGTTTTTTCCCCTCAGTCGCAGTTACAGAAAGTTTGTTTTATTCAAAAAGAGAGGGAAAAAAAACACTAGTGGGAACTAGGGGAAAGTTGAGATGATAATAAAAGTATTAGTCCAACAGCAAAACCTCAATCAATACGAACAGCTGTGAAAATGAGACGCATTCCTCCGCCGCAGCATCCCCCCCCCCAGAGGAAAAGAATTTCCGCTCCTGTTCAATATTGTGCACGCTGGCATTGACGTGATTCGTCTGTCAGCGCTGTCAAACACCGGGTCCCGGCCCACTCCCGACGCCGGGGGGACACTCCGAGATTAAATTGTCAGCCACGACTTCTCCGTCCATCACGCCGTGTGTGTGTTTGTGTATATTCGTCCCACCGCGTCGAGAGGATTACCATCGCTTTTGTGACTCTGCCCTCAAGTTAAGTTCAAATAGGGGCTGCGTGCGACCTCTCACTTACATAATCCTGCGTATGATGAACATAATCCACGGGATTATGCGCTCCGTTTGGACACATCCCGGCCACAAGGCGAACGTGCAAAAAGTGTCCCTATCCGCTTATTATCGACAAGAATGAATTCAAATGTATTGTTGATTTATTATTAAGTACAAAAGTTTTTTCCTAGTTTTAACATCTCAAAAGATTGATTTTGTTAATTTGATAATTTGTGACCTTTAACTTAAAATAGTGATATATGCAGTAGGAACAGTCTTTATAAGAGTATTTTTCTGAATGTTTGACTTTATGGCTCTCAAAGTGCAGCTTTAATAAGCAGTTTGACAGCAGCCCGGGCTCATCCTTTGCTAATATTTGCCTTTCATTAAAGGAAACACATATCCACAGCTAATCTAAAATTCACAGATTAAACTGTGTGTTGTCTATCTAAAGCACAAGGGAAAAATTCCAATGATATATTTTGATTATGATTCTGCAAAACCGGATGCATGTTGTATTATGAAGTACTTTATACTACAGAGTTGTGCTTCTACCTATCTGACCTATGACGGCAAATCAGAGGAAAATCAGCATGGACCGGATTTGCGCTCTCGGATTTTGACTTTGATTCGCCTTCATACTGACCATAATGAACAATTCACTAGCTGGTGATTTAGTAGCATTTAGCAGCTAAAGATACTTGATGTTGGAAACCAAAACAGATAAGAAGAAGTGCACGTTGGACTTGCACTGCATACGGGTTGAGAAGCATGAACCCAAACGAACACCTACATGGTGTGGCTCTTGTTCTCCACCAGGTTGATGTCTCCAGGCTGCAGTTCGGGGATCCACCGCTCCAGCTCCTCGATCCACAGATACCTCAGGGACGAGGGCACCACCACCAGGAGGGGCCACTCCTGCCGGAAGGCGTACGCCACGGCGACGGCCTGCACCGTCTTCCCGAGACCCATCTGGAGCGACCGAAATCGAACGGGGGAGGGCGGGGTGGCGGGGGGGGGGGGGGGAGCGAGAGAGGCAAGTCAATCGCACGACGCCACAATCTGCGGCAAATTGCATATGACGGCCGAGCTGATGCAAGGCCCCAGAGTAATAAGGTCTCAGAATGATTCTGGTGTCAAAAGCGATTAGGCGCTCGGGAGCGCTGCACGGGGCTGACAAATTCATTTGGGAGTCATGCACCGACGCCACAGGCTCCTTTTATTTATTTATTTGTTTTATGTGTTTTTTGTTGTTGTTTGTGTTGTTCTTGTTCTTGTTCTTCTTGGGAAAAGCAGATTTCCTGAGCCAGCGTTGTCGCATGCTTACCTCATCAGCGATCATACATCTGAAAGACAGAAGCAGAGAGAGAATACCCATCAGGCCCGAACGCGTCGCTATGAGGAGGGTCCACAGCGTGCACGTTGCGTGCACGATGCAGCGCAGCAGCATCCGCCTAGAGAGGGAATTTGGGAACACACACACACACACACACACACACACACACACACACACACAGACACGCCTGGTCCCATTTTGTCACTTGAAACCAGGGAGCAACACGCCGGGTGATGCAGAGGCTTGAGTATAATTGCCAAAGTCAAACTATTTTTTTAGAGGAAGGTTTTAACTTTTTAACTGTTTTTATAATGAAGTCGGCTTACGTGTCTCAAAGACTCAGATTAAAAATTGCAGCAGCAATCGGTTGGGCTTCAGGAAGGGAATGGAGGATCTTTATTTCCGTTGACCTTAATTAAATGAAGCCTCAAGTCTTCCAATGAAAAACTTTGATTGATTGAAATTTGTAAAAAACAACAACATTTCACCAGTGAAATGGTGCTAGAAGCCTAAATATCTTTATCTGAACCTTAAACTTGCATCAAACTGCCGCCTCACCTGTGTCAAATATGAGTCTCTCCTGGCCAACCACACGGCAGCTAAAGGCCCCCCACCCGCCCCCGCCCCCGGCATTAACATTGCGCATGATAAAGGGAACAATGAGAGCGTGACACATTCCTTGGCTGAAGTTGTCCCCCACTGTGGAGGAAGCACCGATAGATCAAACCCCGGCTCCCCCCGCCCCGTGTATACGGGGGCCCTTTTGTCATGACCTTGCATATTCATAAACGCTGCCAACACCGTGTCGAGAGCAGGCGGCTCGACCGAGCAGCTCTGAATACCTCAGACATGCTCTCTCATTATTCTCTCCCCCCCCTCCCCTGCACCTCCCGTCTCCGCCCCATTTCTCTCTTTCAGCTGAGGAACATGATTAATGTGCACCTTGCCACTGGTGTTTTTTTCTAATTGCCCACCGCAGCACACAGGCCCAGTCAGCGCAATGTGAGCGCACACACACACACACACACACACACACACACACACACACACACACACACACACACACACACACACACACACACAGAGTATAAAAAGAAATGCACACAAAAGAAAAAAAAGATGAAGAAAAGAAGCAAAATGACTAGATATACACTCACATGTAAACACACACACTCAGGTTTGCAGAAGTGTGTCCGGGGCAGGTGCTTGCCATTTGCCAGTACATTAATCATTCTGCTTTAAATAACCCTGGGTGTCGGTCTTGACGGTTTGAGACCGCGAGGATGCTGCGGCGCCGTTGCCTGACGCCGGCACGGCCCCGTCTTTCTAATGTTATCTCCGAGTGCCACAAGCCCCAAAGTGTCAGGAAATGGCTTTGACGGGTTTGACCTCCTCGCCGCGTGTGCGCAGTGGTCAGCGGGAAAGCCGCCGCACAACAGATTCAGAGAGCAATTTGGCTGTGTGTTGTAAATTAACTTCAAATCTTTTAGCGGGGTGAAGAAAAGTGTTTGGCCTGGTTTACAGCTTGCAGTCGACGGTTTCAAGAGTGTGTGTGTGTGAAGGAAAAGTTAGCACAGCTATATGGGGCAATGCACAACTACAACTATTGTAGTCCGCAGGGATCCTTGTGAGCCTGGATTTAGCGACGGCGGTGTCGGACATCCAATAAAAGGGATTGGACAACGCTAACCACATCAGCTCTTTGGGCAAATTATTGTGCGGTCTGGTGCAGCAGCTCTCGAGATTTGTGTCCTGTGACCACTCCCTTGAATTCTGGCCTCAGATGAGCCTCGACTAGTTGAAACACTTTGATTGTTCTTCTTTTCTGGTGTTAAATCGTTCAATTAAAATGATATTGATGTAAAAAAGAAAAAAAAAGCCTTTGATAAAAAATATTTTCCATTCATTTGTTCAAACAAACTCACGACATCAACTACATGGAACAAACTGTTAAAGGCGTTTATGGAGGACTGTCGAACTCTTGGAATAAGCCCAATCGTCCTCTCAGGGCTGTAACTGCTGAGTCGGCACCTAATGATTTTAAGGTGAGCACTCTCACTCAGTACTTATGGGCGCAAATAAATCCACGCAGAGCACCAAGCCGCATCTCCGTCCGGGGGCCGTCGCAGGGCGCAGGGAGGGAGAGCTCACGCACAGACTGCCTATTGATCCCCCCCCCCCCTCGCACCAGCGGAGCGGCTCCTTATTCAATAAAAGCACGGCCGCTCGCCCGCAATAATATTCCCAACAAATCAAAGCACACAGAACACACGAGGCGAGCGGCGTGGCTCGCATCCGGCTGCGGTAAACACCTTAATGGAAGTGACAAATAATGTTGTTTTTTTTTCTTCAAGGTCGCACGGTGCCGCAATCCACAGATGTGCCCTGGGTGAACGGATGTTTTTCGGATAGCTGAATATATGCAGATGTCAGCGCTCTAATGGGCCCACTTCAGCCCAACAATCCACCACATCTCAAGGGTTTTTATTGTCGCCCTGTGCCACAGCGCACCAGTCTTCCTACACACGGCGTCTGAATTGCTACAGCGTCTTGATGTTTTTTGGGGTTTGGTGCTCTTGGACGCAAGGAGTATGAGATTTTATTTTTAAAAAGCGGAAAAAAATCCCCGCACAGATCCTCCCACGCTGTTAGATATCCAACATCAATCCATGATGCGTTTCAGGAGTTATTACAATGAAGCTGTTTATTTCATGTTTGCTTGTCAATCTGCCTTCGATTAGTAGAATTGGAAGTCTTGTAAGTATTGCTGAAGAAAAGTAAAAAAAAAAAAGAGAGGAAGGCACTGCCGCTTTAATTTGAATATCTTTTCCAGGATATCCAGTGATCAAATAAGGAACAGCAGGGTGCCACAAATACAAAGAAAGATCAAGTTTACTGTCTACGAAATATATTTTTTTAGCTTGTGATCTTTGCCGTCTGTCTGTTTGTTACTGCAGGCTTAAAACGCTGCATTTTAACTTCCTAGTCGCTTCATCATCCAACACGAAACTTTAAAATAATGATTCTGCCTGTAAGTGAACATAGGACCTTCGATCATAGAGCCCGCACTGCATCGCCCGCTACAATGGTGAAAGCCTGACCGCAGAACGGCATTCCGCTCTCGTCCCCTTCCACGCTAACTGTAAATATGTGCTCCGTCGACAAATCGTTGTCTGAACCACCTCCGCTGGCCAGTGATTGTCCAGTCAGAGCCTGGCAAGCGCAGCTATGGGCGGAATACAAAACAGACTAACTCGCGTCACATGCTCACTCTGCTTCCGGGCTCCATCTCCACCTACGACTTCTAACGCTAATGCCACGTCTCCAGCGAGACAAACCGATGCCAGTTGACCGGGGTGGCCGTCCACATGGTGCAGAGAGAGCCAATTGACACATGACCCGCCTCCCCACAGACACACACCTTCCACCCTGTGTAACAGAGCAGCGTCTCCAAGTGTTCTGCGGATCGATAAATGGCTCCTCGCATCACGGCGGCGGCGCTCAGATTGGCTCCCCCCCGTGCTGACCTTCCTGAGAGCCTGAGCCCACATTGACAGGCCACAGGCGGGAGGGGTTAGGGTCCTGGTCCCCCCCTCCCCCGCTTATGTTCAACACAGTCAAACACTTACAGGCTGGAAATGAGAGTTTTCTGATTATGGTAAAGACGTTAAGGATTTGAGTTATTTTCGTCATCAGGAAGTAAAATATCAAAAGAAAGAAACACGGGGCAACACTTTCTAAACACCATGCCTCTTCCTCGTTACTTATTTGACAAGCTGACCTTTTGTTCTACAATTACCTTTAAAAAAATGAGCAACCACAAACAAACAATAAACTCTCGATGCAACGGACTGCTCACCGTCCGTTCCTGGAGAGAGCGAACTCCACCCCCTCCCTTTGGAAAGGCATCAGGCGCTGCAGGAGCTTGCAAGGAAGGCCCGACAGTTGCTGTGACCATCTTGTGTCACAGCGAGAGCTCTGAAGGCCGTTATCATCCATCTCCATCTGCAAGGCCTCATCCGTTTCTCGGCCCCTGATTTGAAGCAGAAGGGGTAAATAAATAACACTTACAAAACTGAGACTTTCAATACGCTATACTCATTGCTGATTTCAACATTTTTTTATGATAATGGTGACACGTGTTCCTCTGCTGCCAACCTGTGCTGACAGGAATGCAATTTTTCAAAGCCGGGGGACGCAGTACGATGGCCGAAGGAAGTAAAAGTGTCCCGTCTCAGCAGCCACTAGTTACAGCCGCATCTTTTTAGTGTGTCAACTCCCGCCGTCCTGGTCAGGCGCGGGCTAAAAGGCAAAAGTTATATCCTTAAGTGCATTATGCACAGAATATGTACATTGAAATAATAGTTTTTTGGAGAGATTATCATATTAATTAACGCTATATAATTCTATGTGATTGCAACAACCACAAATTCATTGGTGGTTTATTTGAATCCCAAACCACCTCATTTAAATGCCTCAAAGTTCTCTTCTGGAGAGCAGCATGTTGAAGTCAACGAAGTTCTAATTCTATGCTAGCTAAAGTTATACATAACTTAACTTTAGCTGCGATATATTAACCGAACTAAAGGACAATATTGCAGATTAGGGGGAAACAGGCAATTAATATCCATTAAGTGTGCAAAGATCTACGTGACTTTTGAAGGCAGATTGTAGCGCAAACGGAAGTAAACAAACCTATATAAATAAAAGCTCTCAACGTTAGATTCTTCATTTTATACACCGGATACGAAAACCCAGTAGATGTGCACAGTGGAGGAAACTAGCAAGCGAATAAACATTTTCTGCACGTTGTTTGAAACAGCTAAATGTCTCAAATTGCCTCTTTCATGGAGAGTCGATACGCCACGTGCAGCGTTGCTATGACATCGTGACTCGGGTGCAGAGCTCGGCCACATAACACGCGTGTAAAAGTATCGGACTAGCAAAAGCTAAACAGGTAAAACCACAGTGGTATCTTAGTAAGTGCATGCGTGGTTTGCCTACCCGGGAAGACAGTGGAATGAAGCACAGAAACCTAACGCCAGCGTTAGTTGTTTATTGAACAACAGACTACGGAATCACTAAAAAAAAAAAAGTTTCGCGGGGAATGTTAGCGACGGTTCACTCGGTTTATACCACCGCGCATCCGCAGCACGCCAAAGTAATTCCCCCGACCGCTTGTCACTTTACGAACTAGTGTTATCACAACTCACCTCGGACAACACACGCATCAACGGCAAACAATATCTGCGGGGAATGACCGCGTGCATGCGTGCTGTCGAAACACACGCACACACACACAAACAAAATCCAGCGACGGCAAGACGTGACATATTTTCAACCCCCCCTCCTCTACGTATCGAACGTGAGGATCTGACGCACTCCCTCAGCCTGCTGGACTCCTCCGCCTCTCTCCTTCACTCCGCCACCGCCACTAGCTAACGTTACCTCACTCCTCGGTTTTGAGGCTACGGCTGTGCACCGGTTGTAAAGCAAAAGCGGTAAGGCAACATTAGATATCTGGGGTGTCTTGTCCCAATAGTTACCGGTTTCGGTTTAACAAAAAAAAACGTTAACCGGATTGTTGTAATCATGTAACACGAGCTAGTTAGCAATAAACATGTTATATTGCTAGTGCGTGACAGCGCACGTCGCCGGTGTTTGGCCGTTTTCGAGCGTTAGCAAGCCACAGAGGCAGGTAATAATCGTTAGCTTAGCACCCGACACGACAATTGTGGCTAATAACGTTGCCGTGCTCCTCTGCGAAAGTACACGGCTGGCAAGAAAACGTCTCTAAATTGTAAGCGACCTTGCTGTAATTCGGCGTTCGTCCTAAAAGGCAAATGGTAGTAATTTAATAATAAATAATAATTCAAGAACTTTTAGGCCTGGTGCGGCTGTTTCTCTCCTGCTAATATGCGGCAACGAACAGTGTGTACCCGCGGTAATGGTTAGCCTTTCAATACATTGAGCTTTATTTAAACCGTCAAGCTGCTTGTGTAAATGTCTCATCGGCCGAATTTTAGTTATAAGTATCAAGTATCAGGCCGACATGTTGAATGTTTTCAGGGGCTTTGTGGTTTTGGCGATACGAAGGAAACAATACATTCCCTAGATTTGCAATGGAGTCTGGTTCCACGGGCTCGCAGCGAAAAACTAGCATTTAAGTTGCATTGCTATTAACGATTAATCAAATGCCATGCTTATCCATTTCATTCTCCACGCCTTCATTCTGATATGAAGCATATCACAAAATCCTCTTCGTGGTAGATACTAGACTAGCGTCCTATAAAGAAACAAGTCGCACGGTAATTAATCGAGCCCACGTATTAATACATGTCATATGACGAAAATAGGATGGTCGCGTATAACTTGATTGTAAATATGAATGTAAAAACGGTGCATATAATGCCCCTTAAACATTCTGATATTCAGGAAGTTACTTGTGCTAGTTTTAATACTAATGACATAATTACTTTTTATACAGTAGCACAGTTCGTAGCATTGAACCATAAAGCCGTTTGGCACAACCCCGCCAGTGATTAAACAGCTGGGCGGTGAAACCGGATGCGAAGTAGATCTCTCCCAGCAAAAGGCCATAAATCGTACATCTGATAACTGATTGTGTTACACGTGTAATAAGTGACCCCCCGCCCGCCCGCTGTAATTCGGATGCCCTGACCCCGGCTATCAGCCTCACACACTCAGATCGAGACGGTGCCGCCGCAGAGCGGCCGAGCATCGTGATGGTGTCGTTTTCATTAAGGCACCAGCGGAGCCTGGTGGGTGGAGGGTACAGACGGGACCCAGCCCCCCCACCGCAACCCCCCACGGCTCTGCTCTGCAGAGTGGAGACGATGTGTTCGTCTTTGCGGGGATCGCGGACCAGATCTTTCTGTGTGTGTGTGTGTGTGCGCGCGCGCGTGCGCTAAATGTCGATCCTAAGGATTGTCTACTGCGTCGGAATGTGTCAGTCACTAAATATTTGCTCTAATTGCCCTGTGATTGTCTGCAATCCGTGTCGCAGCCCCCCCTCCCCCACACCACACCAGGCAAAAAAAATGCTATTAATTGTTTGCTATAACCACCTCTTTTTTGACCATGCATTACGCGGGTTAGCTATAGGGCACGTTTGGAGATGATGACATTATCAGATATTGAATGGGTGGATGATGCTGTGTAATAGCTTTCACCCAAGATGCGGGGCCCCAATGGCTAAATAATTCATCGCCTCCCAGGAGGAAGCGGTTAGGGGGGGCGGGGGCTCTCTGCTGTTCCCATAATATTTGGTCCGGCCCATTAAATAATTCATCCACCTCTGCGTGAATTGTTTGTCCAATCGGTGACCTTGATCACGAGATTGAGGAAGCAAAATAAATCAATTCTTCAGAGAACACGGCACAATTATGATGGGAATGGATCAGGAGTCCCGTGGCGATGCCGGTTGCTAAGTGACAGCAGTAACTTTTTGCATGTTTTTTTCTTTCACCCATATATCGATGTGGAGGTCTGGACTCTAGGGACAGCCTGTCCGTCACTATGGCGACGGGCGGCGCCCGCGATTTATTTTACACGGCTGAATGTTGCGTCTTTGTCGCGTGTGCAAAAGGGAGCGAATAATTGATGACAGAAAACAATGTGTGTGATTTCTATTAGAGGTGGCTTCCTCATCGCAGTATATTGTATATTGTTCTCTAGCTGCTCCTGTGAGACTTTGTTGAAAGCAGAGTGTCTATTGCGGTGTTGTCTGGGTAATGGGTGGGTGTTTCAGTTGGTATCTCTCTCTCTCTCTCTCTCAGTGGGATTAGCTGTAGCAGTGTGTGTGTGTGTGTGTGCGCGCGTGTGTACGTGCGTGTGTGTGAAGAGCAGGGTGCCAGCTTCAATGGGAAAGTGGCCCAGTGAACAGCTCGGCCTCTCAGCGGCCAGCGCCTCCCCATCGACTCTCCACCTGGTCTTTGAGCACCTAGCTGGCCGCGGACACGTCGATCCCGTCCCTCCACCCTCTCCTCCACTTCCCCGTTTGCCCTTTTTTTTAAAAAAACCTTCTCCCTCGCCTCCTTTTGCTCTCTCCCTCCACACCTCCCCGTTTCGCTCATCTTCCTCTCATTCCCCTCTGCGTCCCATGTCCCTGGCTGCCCTTCCCTTCTCCTCCAACTCTTCCTCCTCCACCCGCCTTCATCCTAAAGCAGAGTGGCTAATGAAGAGCCCCGTGTAGCCGGTGACTTTGGTTCGGCCGTCCCTCCGTAGCAGCGGCCGGCCTCGGGCCGCCGTGACTGGCTGTCGAGGCTCTGACGTCACACGGGGGGCCAGCTGTTGATTTGGCTCTGTCTCCAAGGCTGGCTGGCTTGATGGCTTGTGGCAGGTAGACTTGTGCTTGCACAGCACTCTCCCTCCCCGCCCCTCTCTCTCTCTCTCTCCATCTGACACCCACTCCTCCTCGCCCTCTCCCTTTTTACACCCCCCTCTGCCCGTCCTCCGCTCTCACTCAGTCGAGCGGGCGAGCAGGAGGCAGCAGGCAGCTGCCGAGGAGCGAGCTGGGAGGCGACTCCAGCCTCCTCTCCAGCAGATAGTGCCTCCTGTGCAATGGAAACTAAATGGTTGCGTAGCAGAAGGGATGGAGGGCAGAGCTGCCGGGGCAGGTAGGTCCTCCATCGTCCAATTTCTACTTGACTTGTTACGATTTCATCTTATTTCTCGAGCATTACTTTGTTATGCCTTTTCAACATTGTTTTATAGCTTCTTTTTTTTTGCCCGAGGCGAGCGCCTGTTGCATGCGCGTGAATCAATGCGAAACACCTTATTTTTGATCGGCTTCTTAAACCGTTTCCTGACAGCAAGTGGCTGTTTTGTTAACAGAGCGCACTTCGGCGGATCGAGCCGTCAGCTTTCCCAAATCTCCAATGCTGCCGCTGCGTTTTCATTAGGAGGGCAATTAGCCGAGATCAGCCAATAAGAGGCTTCTCCAGCCAAGCCTCCCCCTTTCTCCTGTTTTTCTGCAGGTGTGGACTGCAAATGGACTTTTAATGAGTCTGGCAGACTTTTTTTTATGTTAGTCTCCTCTCTGGGCTCCAGAAATTAAAACTGCTAGACTTGCATGTTAGTTTTGCGCTGTTTATTGTTCCTCCTCTAATTGCCGTGATTGATATTCCCCGGAGGCTCTCCTGTGGGAAAGGTAATGAATTACCTGCACACTCTGCTGTGGATTTAATTTATTAATGTTCCGTGCGTACCGGAGGCAAAGCGAGAGGCGCGATTAGAGGCTCATTTGCTCCTGTTTATGTTTCTCTTCTTTCGGTTCAGTTAGAAGCAGTCTCCTTTTATTTAAAACGACGCTTGCCCGAGAAATGCAGGCAAGCGGCGCGTTAAAGCGATATAATTTCATAAGCTTTACACTAATCGTTTTTTTCTAGTCCAATTACGCAGCTCCCCTGTCAGCGCGCACCGCGCTGCGCAATTAGCACGGTATGTCGAGGAATTGGGGGATAAGTGTCGGGGGGGGTAAACGCGTCGCTCCGCGGCTCAGAAATGTCCAGGTTTAAAAGTCCGGTATTTTGTTTTTATACTTTGCTTAGAGGCTCTTGTGGTTGACGAGGATGGAGTGGGGGGGTGGGCTTGATGGGGCTCGATGGTGCTCGACTCAGTTAGTGCCGTGTTTTAGCTCCAGACAAGAGCGCTGATCCACGCAGGTCAGAACGGAGCGGAGGCGTTCGAGGGAAAGGTTAGTCCTTTAGAGAGAGAGAGATAGAGAGAGTGAGAGAGAGAGAGAGAGAGGTATGTGTGTTCTTGTGAAAGGGGGGCGGGGGAAGTGCGTGTGTGTTGAAAAAAAATCTCATTAACTCGCCATGGAGTGCTATTAGCCGTCAGAGCGGTCCGTTAAGAGCCGGTGTATGAGTAACTCTGCTCACTTCAAGGCAACCGTCGTGACCCCAACTGGGTTTTTGGGGGCAGGGGGGTGGTGAAGGTAAATTAATTAATTAATTGCATTGTGTTGGTCTTACAGATTTCTTTCTTTTAAAAGATCCCCTTCTAATTGACCATACCAGGGTTTGACACATTCATGCGATTGTGCGTGCAGGTGTGTGTGATACATCGTTGTGTGTGTACGTGCATGAGAGAGGTTACACAGCAATACAAGATGGCGATGGTGCGACTGACGCCTCAGGGAGCCTCTTTTAAGGTTGCTGTTCGGCGGACGCAATACCAATGAACCACTCCCTGTGCAGCCACGGCGCGATGCGGCAGGGCGCACCGGTTCACATGCTGAGTGCCTGTGTGTGTGCACGTGTGGTTCCAAAGGTGTGTTTGCAGCAAAGCAAATGTCGACTCTTCCTTGCGTCCTTCAAAACTTTTTATTTAT